CGATTAATAATTTTTTATCACTATAACCGAACAACGTTAGAATGATATCATTATTAGAACAAGAAACTGACATAAATACCTTTTAATTTATTTTTGCTTTTTTATTTTAATTCTTAGACACTTTAAGAATTTCAATGCTGGTTTTGAAGTTTAATACACGAATATTTATTTTTATTTTAATTCAGCAGTATTTTAAACAAATATTAATATATTGTATAGATTAGATAGATTAAAATAAATCCGGTAATACAGAAGAATACGCGGCGAGAAAGATTTTGCAAGATTTTGCAACTTTGCGAGATGAATCATAATTGAATTAGATTTACGACTTTGAATAAGGTTGACGCGAGACACGAGGGTTAATAAACGCATCCCGGATTCTGACGGCGCTTCACGCTGATTCATTCTCGTATCCTAGGAATTTCTCTGATCAGAAATTCCGATGATGCTGACCGCAATCGTTGCTTTTCTCTCGTCGCTGAAGTACTTTCTCAGAGAAGAAGGAAGAGGGACGGAACGCGGGGTGGAACATTGTAGAAAACTGCATAGAGAGACGCACACCCATCGGTTCAAGCACCGCTGCACCGCGGCACCAGCGGCGTCCTTTATTTATAGGATAGTAGAATGTAAAAATGAAAAAAGGCGATGCGGGATTAATCAACGACATTCTTAATACGCGCCGCGGGCGATGACGGAAGTTTTCAGGATTGCTATAACGCGCCGGCCGCGCGGTTTCGTGCGGTGCGCGCCGTATCGTGGAAATCTCGCAATCTCGTGTGCACCGCCGAGCGGATAAATTCGCCGACGGACCGAGAGATAAGGTGATTTAGCTTTATTAATTAGAGAGTATTAGCTGACAGTACCGTTTATCGAAATAAATCTCCTTTCATCCCGTCTTTTGTGAGCGTTGATAATTTTTATCGTCCATTAACAGACGTAAAAATTATCTCGACAGGTAGACACAATCTCTTAGATTTATCTTTTAACATTTTAATCTTCATCTTTTTTTTTGCAAAACTTAGGCGACTTTTTATCGAAATGTATGATAAACTGCGACGATAGTGATAGATGAAGTCTTGAGTAAAACTGAACTTCATTCTCAAATAGTCTTTCTTGGAATCCGCCAATGAGCTTGATGCAGATGTGACACATCAAGCATCTATCTTTACAACGCACTCAGATTGTCATAACGGAGCGAAATTAATGACGAGTCGCAAGTCGCAAAATAAACGCAGCGGGCAGCTTCGACGGAAAAAAAGGCTAATCGCGGAAGTGCAACGCGGGCCGTACGATCGATCCGATCGGCGCTAATTAACTGTCAAATTAACACGAGTTATCGTCCCCTCGAGGGAGCCGTGAGGAAAAGGACCTAATCCCGACCGTACACTATCACGCGTGCTCACTGTCGAGATTTATCGCGAGCGTGCCCCCTTCCACATTTTTTTTCCATGAAATTTGTGTAATCGCAGTTTTCTCGATACGAAGATTTAATTATGCATTACAAATATGCAATAACGAATATACATTATTTATATACTTAAAGAGAGATTGACGCACGAATACATACGTGTTACGTTATCACTGCATCTGCATAACATACGGAATGTATTTCGCGGCGACGCTTATCTGTGTAAATATAGAATATGCAAAAAATAGCGCATATGAAAGACGCTTAAGAGGAAATTGCGCTATGTGGAGCCGCGCGAGTGACGTATAGAAGGGAGCGGTTACCTTGGTACTAATATGAATGATGCTGTAAAAGCGGCAACTGCGATATTATTTTTTATGCAATATCCGATAGTGTGTCGTTCGCATTAGTTTATATAACATATTCGCGTATATTTAATAATTTACTAGCGTGAGAACATATTAAATCACTAATATTGAGTCTTTGCGTCATTGTAACTAAACATTTCGATATTTTAAAAACATAGGCGAGAATTTCGAGAAATCACGTTACTACGACAGTAGCTAAGCAGTTTTCATCGGTAATTTATTAGATTGAAATACAAACAATTTCTTAGACAAGTACTTGCTACCGCGGCAAAAGTTATTTGTATCTCGATCCATGTAACTTTATGCAAAAATATTTAAGGAACCAACGTGATCATTAAAAAATTCTTTTGAAAAAGTTTTTTAAGAAAAAGAAAGTACAAGAACTTATTACGAATTTCTTAGCATCTCGTCATTAATTTTTATGTTTTTTAAATTTATCTCTATATATACAAATGCGGACTTCACGCAAAATTATAGCAATTAGACGTTTTTATACAACGAGCGTTACTCGTAGATGTTATTAATGACAGTGAAAGACGATAATTTAATAGACATGAAATGACGTACAATATATCGTATAAAAACCCATGTGAAACTAAAAAAATGTTAATTACAACGTCCTGTGCGCGGCTTTAAAACAAATGACTGCACAATCGTAAAATTTCGCGTGGCAACGCAATGAGATTAGCCCTACGCCATTCGTCGCTGATCTTAATGACGAACACTTTTTTTCTAATCATTCGTCCGGAGAGTACTCATTATTTTGCAATTTTTTAGTTCTTAAGCACCGACGTGCACTTAAGTTGCGTGCAATTATAGGCACGATACCGTTCGCGTCGGATTTGCACGCGTGTCGGATGCATTTTCTCGTGAGGCAAAAAGCACGCGGCGCATACTCGGAAACGTACGGCCGTCAGCAAAGAAGACGCGATTCAAACTTCACTTCGTTTGACGTGATCATAATCATAGAGATCGTATAGATCGTAACGACTAATCCCGGCTTTGCCGGAAGAATCAGACTTGTATGGCAATCAGAATGCGCGGCGTAAGTGTTTTTTTTTTTTTTTTTTTACATCTAGAAATAATTTCGAATGATAATGTTCATTTCTAGAGATCCAAAATTGTTTTGAATTACACTTGCAACAAATAATTATTCCACGCGGCAAGAAAAATGTGCGGGACAAATTGAGATCATTCGCAAGCATCTCACAAAGGATATACGGAAATTGTAAAAAAACATCTGCGCACGTCACACGCGTTGTGATAAAAAGCTCACGTCAACTTCTACGACGCTTCGACTCGGACGTAATGCGACGCAACAGGTTCGCGGCGGAAAGAACTACGGATTGATCGCGATTCCCACGAATGTACTGCGGTCAGAAACCGATGCAATCCTCGGCAAACGCGCGAATGTAATCGGCCGGCGCGGAAATTGTCGGTTCCACAATGTTGCTCGTGCACTCGCGCTCGCGCGAATCGAGCCGCGGCGTTCGGCTATAAAAAAAATGGTTAATAAATACGACTGTCGATCGAGTGAGGCTTGCGTGCGTGTGCGTAAGCGGGCCCCGGCATTTTGTCAGAGACGTGCACTTATCCCATCGTGCACACCGCCCTTTCGCGTTTCTACCTTTTCCCCTTCGGTTCCCCCTTGCGTTCTATCGTCCTCTCGTTCCACCTACTCCACACACACACACACACACACGCACACACACATTATCTATACATGCGCGCACATGCACGCATATGCGTTTTAAGTACACGCAAAAGCTGTGTTTATCATTCCACGGCAGTCTTCTCAACCCCCCCCCTCCTACCCCTCTCTCTTTCACCTTCTTGCCCATCATCCATTCATCCGATGATTTCACCTTATTATCTACAACGTGTATCCACGGGGCGAGAACGCAATCAGTGACAAAAAACAGCGGGAAATTAAGGCAGCGCGCAAACGCGAGTTTGTACGTCGAGGATTATTTAAGTGAGATTTACACGCAACATCGTATAATATCGCGATGACTATGACTGTCTTTTTTTTATGTTTAAACATGTATATGAGATTAATATTTGATGCTCCTAATTTTTTTGCGGATATTAAATAGGAATTAATACGCTGATTAATTCTTTGCAAAGAAAAAAATTAAGAGCGACAGCTTGGTTGTATATTGCTTTTTTTTGCAATCCTCAAAATCGCGGAAACTATTGTACGCATTCGATTCAATCCGTCGAGTAGATGGGAAATCGGTGCGATGGTATCCGAAAATTAATTTAATTCCCATTCCGATCTTCTCGAACAATTTATCGCTCTTATGATTACTCTTATGATCAACTTGAACGAATTAAAATATTATGCAGCGTTACACACCTATTAATCAAAGACGCGCTTTCTCACGGCTGGCTCACTCATGCGTATGCCTTCCTATAAATTTTGCGTAGCGAAAAAAAACGACCATCTTGAGAGAGGGTTGAATCATCGCACGCGCGCGCTCGCGATATTCCGGCCGAATGATTATAATAAATTCGATCGCAGCGTGTGAGCGACGATGCTGCCATAGACGAACGTACACTACAAACCGCAACCGACATGCAGTGGGTCAATTCGATTCCGCCTTTAATGACTACCCGGGAGAGAGAAAAGGAAGGGAAGCCTTTTAATAACCCTTCCCCTTGAACCCCGTTCAATCGGAGGTTCGAAAGTCGCGGCAAGGTTAAGTACTTGCACTCCCGCTGCCCGTCGAGTGCTCTTCCTTCCGGTTTCCAGCGAGGCAACAAATCGTCGCCTTTTACCGCGAATAACGATAACGATCTACCTTTTTTATTCGTCGACGGAAGCTCACATATTTTCTAAAATTTTACGTGCGATGTCCAGCTGGAGGTCTGCATTCTAATTAAGATCTAATATATTTCAAAGTTAAATCGTGCAGATTGAACGACTCGATAAAATCAGATAAAAATGTGTAAAAATGAAGAAATTGTGATTCTAATGTAATTAAATACGAAATAATTTTTTGAATAATTTTCAAACTAATTTCTCAAAATGTCTATTGTCCTCCCAGTCGTTGAAATTTGCATAAGGAGGATTAGTCATATGATTAAATGTTTCGATGATTCACGCAGAGAGTCAGAAAAAACACAAGTCAGTAATAAAATCTAAATCTCCACCGTACGAAGCAGATTTGTAAGAAGACCGGACGAGGGTAATAAAGCGTTTTCCTTTTGTTCCCTTTTAGAGTCCCCGGAAGGGGAGGGAAGACAAAAAGGACACGGAGGGACAGAGCGAAAGGATGGTCACTAGATAATTTCATGTCGACGGACGTACTGCATATGCAAGTGCCACTGCAGTCACGACACAGCGACTGGGTATGTTTGCTATTGTGTATGTCGCCATGTACATTGCCTTCGAAAAGTTTCCCGCCACGATAGAAGCTTATGTTGATTTATATTATATTTTTGCAAAAAACCACTGTGATAAACATAAAATTCACACAAATTTAGAGAATATTATTAAATTATTATTAAAATAATATTAAAAGAATATATATAGAATGACTTTATTCATAACTTTTCTTATTACTACTGTTAAAGACAATTTTCTGTACGCGTCGGCTATATTCGAAAGCTTTTCGATGGTAGTGTACGTGAATTTTAAAATCGGTGATACGATAGTCCTCTTTTTATTTTTTACTTTCATTGTTTGCGTAGCGAGTTTCTTGCCGTTTTAACTACCGGGCGCACGCGTGATTTACGATTAAGAAGAGTATTTCGTAAGCGAAATATCAGAAGCGCGACCTTTGCGTGATGGTGTGAGACTGAAATAGCGCGACACATTTTTCGCAAGTCGATCGTTTCTTCATGACTGCATAATACATCGTAAAATACTTTGCATACTAAATTGCGTCGATCGTCTGCAACAGTTACATGTTTTCGAAACAATTTCATTATTTAATACAAGTTGTATTTAAGACGCTACAGAATTGTATCAAAAGTAATTCTTGGTACTTTGCTTTAAATTTTATAAACTTTTAAGATAGTAAAATAAGTCAATATTTGAAGTTTAAACAATAGAAAAATTTGCAAATTTATTTAATTTTACATATTTTTAAATTATAATTTTACATATTTCTAAAGCTGCTTAAAAAGTTATTGTTATTTTTAGATTAAATAAGGAAAAAAATCGATTTAAAAAGCTACTAAAGATTTCAGAGCTGCAAATTAATTCTAATTATGTCACACAATTCCGTATTTTTAAATTAAAATTTTTACAACAAAATAATATATAATCTATACGTGTAGATTTTCTCGATTTAAACTTTGTATCGCAATACATATATTTTATCTCTTTCTTCAAAAACATAAAACAAATTATCTAGTATCTTAAATCAGTTCAGAGATTTTTGCTCGTTACACTTTCCGCGAAATCGAATCCACTCTTCTTTGATCATGCCTTCGTAAAAACGCGTCTTATAATAACAGCACTTCTTTCTTTTCATAAACCCGTCATTATCTCCCTAACACTAACCCACCTTCGATATTACTGTGATTCTGTTGCATATTCAAATGCGCGAGCGAGCGAGTCTGCGAAGTTATTCATACTTAAATGTCGTAAAAACGTGCTATCACGATAATGATTAAGGAAAATGGTGGACCATTTGATTGCAAAATTACAGTAATCAATGTATTTTACATCGTTTTCAATAAATCAAATTATAGAATCAAAATGGGACGAAAGAGTGCAATTTGTATCTCTTTCTTGTTTCGTTTAACGTTTTTCTTTTACTGAGTGCATTTTTTTCATAAAATGAAAGGTGTTTTCCATCAAATGAAAAATGTAAAGTCTATATGAGAAATAATAGCCGATATGATCAAAAATTTATCCCACAATTATACAAATTTATCCATTTAACAATATTTTGTGTTTTATAATATTACAAATAAGTAAACAAAATTGCAAATGCTGAAAGAGACGCAGATGCACATATCAGGAGATGAGAAGATGAAACGAGCAAAAGACTCACCAGTGAAGTCGTGCGCTCCAAACGTCAGATTCGAAGATTGTAGCACCAAACGCTCGGACGGGGGGGTGGAGGGGACAGGACCGATGCACCCACGAGACCGAGGTGGGCTGTCGTAAAATGCAGTTACGCAACACGCAACTGGTGGCGCACACGCGACGCGACTGATCGAAAGCAAAAACGTCAGTGTCGCGACGGACGTCACCCGTCGTTGTGATCGTCCTCGTTGTTGACTTCGAATGAACGATTATCGAGCGTAGCGCGAAAGAGACGAGCCACGCGGCCCGACCGCGATGCAGAAAGAGAGAGAGAGAGAGAGAACGAGAGTGAGAAAGGCTGACAGATCGGAGCGAGGAAGACAAATGCGTATCTCCGAAAGAAAGATAGAAGCCGAGAGATATACGCGAGGCGTGATCGTGCTAGGGGCGTCACTCACGAAGCATCGCTTTCACAGCCGTGAGAGTAGGGCGCTTGACAGCTGAGCAAAAATCGGCAAAATCCGCAGATCCGACGTAGCAACGCTCACTCGCCGCACTGTTCGTGCACTGTCGAACGCGCTTATGTCGCTGCACCCATGAGCTCACGTTCGCGTATTCCCGGCAACGTTCGGCTCGTGCAATTACCGGTGTCGCACTCTTGCGAAAATCTTTAACATTGCGTACTCGTGAAGAGAATAATTAAATGTCTTTTTTTCTTTTTTTTTCGCTAAATTTCCAAAATATCTAATTGTAAGTATCGATTGAATATGTGAAACGACGTATTGATATCACAATTCCGCCGCATAAAGTGATTCTCAAAGTTTTCTGAAAGAGAATAATTCAATGGTTATTCCATTTTTTTATTTGACAACATAATTTTATAATAATTTATCTACAAAGCTGTTTGTCGTATCTTTTTTCAGCGTTGTCATACGAGTACAAATAACGTTGACATTCGTGCACACAAATATGCTTACATCGTGTGCATTTTCGTACAGCTGGAAGTGCAAACATGCAAGATGCAAAGTAACGGTATCATATTGCCATCTCGAGAGGACCACACAAACCTGCATGGAATTCATAGTTGGAATGGTAAATCCACGATAAATGTTTATCTTTCTTCGGTAACATTATCGCTTGTTGCGTATACAGCAGTACAAATTTCGCAAAAGTGACACATCGTGAAATTAGCGCTCATTATTCTAACGAATTGAGCCATATTTTTTTTTCATGTTTCAACCTCGCGGTATCCTAAATGCAATTTTATTTCTTTATAAAACAGAAAAAATAAGTTTCATTAAATTGATGGCATCGATAAGGTAATCTATTTATAAATAATTCAATTACCGTGCAAGAATCTTGCAACTTTTAGCAGTAATTATGCAAAACTCTTAGTTTTCATCTGAATGTACTCGTATATGTATATCATAACCTTTTCCTTTTCTATATTTAGTATTTACTTCAACCGTTTAATATCTGCAACGCGCTTGATAATGTAACATCTAATCTTGGATATTCTGATGAACTTTCGGAAATCAAGCCGCATTTTGATCGTCTGTGAAAATAAGAGGTCTAAGCGTTGAAGTCACCACATGCGCGTGACTCGATAACGAGCAAGCTTTCGGCATAAAGAAGCGAGCGCGTGGATTTTTGGCGTTCAAATCTCTCAGCTGTAATCACCAGCAAATCTCGTTTGTCGCGGAATTTTAATCAATAATCAATCTCAAAATCGCCGTGATACGATGGTGAATACTTATTGCAGAAACCGAAAATGTACTGTATCAAATAATATGGTCACCAGACAATCAATCGTCAAGTCTTTACAAAAAAATAATATTTTATTGTAATAAGACTTATAGATCTATCCTTCTCAGCTGCGCGCGTGTTAAGTTTATGTCATTACTTCTTGTTTATCTAAATTATGGGTGTGTACTTATTCATTCAAAACGTAAGTTTTAAGAAGACACAATAACAATGATTATGATAAGATAACAAGCCGATATGTATATTATCGTATGTCACTTGATTCCTTCTAATACTTGTTAACATTTTCAGGCAATGTGGGTGAAGTTGCGTCGAGACAAAATGACGTGAGCGTCATTAATGCTGATGACAAGAGACAATCCCACGTAATAAAACTCGATCGTTTAAGCCCGGCGAAATGAATCATCGGGAATCGCGCTGCTAATGCGATCAAGCTCAATATTTACTTGACGTGCTTTGTCGCAGCGTAGGTTCTCTTTATCAAGAGCGTAATGGTGTCATGTCGCTTGAGAGAAAAATTACACGAGGCCTTTTCACAGATATGTATACGTGTCATAGAATATTTATTACATTATGCACGAACAAAATCACTCCACCGTTAGATCATCGAAGATACCGCAAGTGAGAGGAACCTACTCTATCTACCAGTGGTTTAAACGAGCCATTACGTCCGTAAAAGGAAAAATAGTTCTATGATAAGATGTATTTTGAAAAATTTGATCGTAGCACTTGTTATTTATTGTGAATTTTGTATTCAGCGTTTCATAATGAGCTTTTCACTCGTTCACTTTATTTATAGGCGAAGCTCGCGCATAGCACGCCATCGGACGTCGCGTCGTCGTAACTATTGACCTTTATCACTGCGGCGACTTCACCCTGGCAGCTCAGCTGAGCTCGGCGGAGCTTAAAGCACATCGAAGATGGCGACCGGAGGGTAGAGTCGAGCCGGAGACGTGCAGCACAAAGACAACCTCTTCCCCGGTGGAGACGGCCGTGTATATTGGAGCGAGCTGTCCGCGTGAGCCGAGTTCGGTGAGTAGACAACCGCTGTCGCGGCTCAACCTCGTGCCGAATATCACGTGTGCGCCTCGCGTTTGTCGACGGGGACCGCGGGCAACTAACTACATATCGCACGCTCGGCGGCGCTCCGAAGAAATCTTCACGCGAGATCCATGCCTTTCGGTAAGTTCAATGCGCACAGATCCGTGTCACACAGCAAGCCGACGAGAAATGGGAGCAGCGCGCGTGTGTTTATATCGGTATACGTGACGCGATGCGCGCACGTGTGTAGGCACGTCACAACGCCAGCAAGCCTAATCTATACGAGGAGAAAGAGGATCGAAGGAGGTCGTTTTTGTTATTAAATTGCGAGCTATCGAGGAGCAGAGAGGCCGAGAAGATAAAAAATCGAATGAAATGATAAAAATTGATAAAAGATTTTATGATAACTTAATTCAGAGAGTACTTATTTATTTATAATATTAAAGCATACTATACAAGTGGATTGGACTCGCGAGTATGCTCAGTATGATTTAATAAAATAAATATTTAATTATATTGCTATTTTAATTAAATACTCCGATAAATATCTAGAATAAATTAATTAGATATTTAAATAAAAAAAAAAAAAATAATTTTTCTGTCATCCTAGCGAGAAATTTTAATATCTTCTCGAGTTGCATCTTAAGCGTGATGCAATTTTGTTAACGAAGCATCAACAGCGACGCGCTTTATATTTCTTGCTAGTTGCGTCATACTCTGCTCCTCAAGTTGCTCCACTTTTCTCGCAAGCACCATATTACTGTGTGTCGCACGTCGTCAGCAATGGTGACAAAAATTGATCGGCGCGGCTAACAGATCAGGTCACGTAAACGCGTGCGAGCTTTCAATCGCACAATGTAAATGCCCTCCACGATCAATGCCTCCGCATTCTCGTGTACAATGCGTTTCAGCGGTGTAAAATTTTAATGATTACGTAAACTGCCGTGAGCTTTTTCAATCACGCGATGTAAATACTTTCCACGATCAATGTCTCCGCGTACTCGTGTACAATGTATTCTATCATCGGTGTAAAATTTTAATTTATAACTTTTTCTGTTCACACGCTCTTTTTTAGTGCAAATTTTTGGAAAATTTACTTTGAAGATATTTAAAACTGAAAATTTTACTTTATTTTATAAGAATTTTTTGTGAATTAAGATTTGAAAGTGTAAAAATTTGTTTCTCTGATAAGTTTCAGTAAGCTTTAACACCCATTTTTATTCAGATTTACGTAATATTAAAAATTGCAATAAATCGATTGTAAATCGATTTTTTTAAATTATTAAAATAGCGCAAGTTGAAACAGCGTATAAGTTAGTCACATAATCTATCCATTATTTGCAATTTTATTGCTGGCATCTTAATGATAATATTAATTGGAAATTCAGTGATAATATTAATACATAAGTATTAATTACTAATTGTTATAAATTATTATTTGTAATAATATACAATGGCAAATAATCTTTAAATCGAACTAATCAGACATGATAATATTTTAATCTGTAATAATTCTAACTAATTTTTCTATAACATCTCTCTGTTTAACATTTATATATAACAGTACTGTATATATTATCAACATAATTTAATATCAAATGTTGCTAACTGGAATTGGCGAAGAATAGCCCCTGGTATCTCTAATTTCTTTCAGATGGTGGCGGGTTTCTCCGGTTTTCCGCTAATTCAGGATTTCGATCGGGTACGCAGCGGTTTAAACACACTAACACACCGTTCTCTCGTTTCTTCGTTCGCCATCTAAAGTAGCAATTAACGCTCGCGTTAATGCTTCTTCCCCGTCAATGTCTAGTCAGATGGATGCGAGAAATAAGAAAAGAAGATGCGATTTGGTGAAAAAGAGAAACCGTGACGCTCCGATCGAGATGAGGGTCGACGCATGCGGGAAGTCGAAATCAAACCAAAGTGTGTAAAATATAGTATCAAGATAACCGGGTTGATTCACAGGGATCCCGACGATCATCTTCCTCGCAAGACGCCGTGCGCTGATATCGTACCAAAGAAAATCGATCCTACATTAAGTTCCTCTTTTCTACTCCGACAAAATCGAAATGTCGATGAACGAAATGCAATCATTAGAAATCAAGTTTTAGACAATCCATCGTGAAAACTTTTATTAATTCAATTAATTAGGTAAGATAGATGAGAATCGAAAGACTTAACCGACGTGTCATCCAAGTGCCATCGCAGTAATAGAGATTGAAAATGCGAGAAACTAGAGTAAAAAAGCGTGAAACGAATTAGCTAATAAGCAACTGGTGCAGAATCGCCTTCGAAAAGCGATTGAAGGTACTGCGAAACTGTAGACTATCGATCGGGCGAGGGATCTCGACGGCGACTCGAAAATTGCGACGTCGAGTTTACCGGTAACATCGATGCGGTGCTGGTTGGTGGAGTCAGCATTTCCAATTTAGCGACTCTAGGGAGCGACGTGCGCGAGAGGAATTTTTCTCGATGAAACTTTCGTAATTTATTGTTAATCTCCATGTTTATTGTAATCTTCGTGTTGATTGCGGACAATCGGTGCGAGAGAAAAGGACCGTGCCGTTGATTTCTGCGACTGTCTTGCTGAGAGATTGAAATCGCTGGCACGATCAGTGATAAAGTTTTCAAAGAATTTTTCCGATTTTTAACGTGCTGACTTTCTTCTTGATGCGTTGAGCGATTTTTAATAGTGCACAAAATAAAAACGACGCGCTTTTTTTAGAAGAAATTTTAATAATCGATTAATGAAACGAAATTTTTGGAGAAATTTTGAAGTCGGTGACTTATGCATAGAAAAGGGTAACTTTTAAAGAAACATATTTCGAAGAGACTCGAACGCTGCTTATACTTTAAAATCGATCAGGATCAGAGGTCGCGGACATTTCGAATGCGCGATCGTATCCGGGAGTCCCCGAAATAAATTAACGCCGAATTAAAGTAGACGACGGCAAACGTGCGATTGGACAAACGACAGGAGGGGAAAAGAAAAGAAGGTGAAAGATCGCAGACGAAAGGAAGGAAAGATAGGTGAACGGTCGCGTAACGGGAGGCCGAGGATTTGTCTGGAAAAATGCGGGAAGGGTGACGCGCGGCGTGCGGGGATTGGGGGCTGTTCAACGATCGGGGGAGGAAAGAGAGAAGGAGAGGAACCCTGAGGCCGCAGTCTGAACGGGGTGCGCGCATCAGGTCTGATATCGACCGAGGATTGCTTTTGCGCGCTTGCGTGGAAAAAGGTGCGAGAGGTAAAGAGAGCTCGGCCACAAGAGAGCAACTGCGCCCTCCGCAAGAGGAAGGACCCTGCTCGCTTCTCGTCATTCATCGGTCGATCGTCGCGACCACGAGGAACGATTTCGTTCCGGCGAAGACTTCCGGTGTCCCTGCAGTAGGAGCCGACTAAGGGGCCGGCAGCATGACACGGTGATTCCAACGCCTGCACTTCCGGAAACGACCTGCGCGATCTCGCGGTGAGCTCGACTCCGCGTCGGAAATCATCACCGTCGCCGCGGGACGAGGAAAAACTCGACGCGCGGGCGGACCGGAGCGGCGAGGGGAGCACAGACGAGGTATATCGGGCCGATAAGAGCGCGATAAGCGTGTACCGCGTTTTATAAACGTCCACGCGTGTGCGCGCTTCTCCTTTTCTTTCCGTTTCTTTCTCTCTGTCTCTCTCTCTCTCTCTCTCTTGCGACCTCGTCGTCGCGCCGATAAAAGACGAATCCGGGGTTTTTCTCGAGGACAGCGTCGCCGTGCCAGTTGAAAGCCGACGATGCCCCGACGCGGTGATCGGGACGCTGCGAAACAAACGGGGGTTAATGTCCGATTTTGACAAGATTTGTTTCACTTGATAACGCGATTGCAGTCGCGTCGCCCTCGCCGTGCTCAAAGCGACATCGATGCCTGGCGGTTTCATCCGGTTCGATTTGGAGGTGAATCACTCGTATGGATAACGAACCCGCGGACTGAGTAATCGCGATTGATATCGGATAATCTTATCGTCTATCAATGTTTGTCCATAGATCGGGACTTACGTGTTGTACAATGTGTAACTATCGACGTGGCTTCTCGATATAGCGGGGATAAGCGGGTTTAATCGATGATCAATGCTGAGTTATCGAAAAACGGGCGATCGACGCGTCACGTGAAAATAATCGAAGGCGAGCGTCGAAGTCTCTCGAAGCTCATATTGATTATCGTGTTGTCTGGATGAGCGCACAGCGTGATGAGCAGCATGCAGACAGTCGCGAGCGAGATAATCGGCCCCGAGCAGCAGCCGCAGGAGGAAATTCAGCTGACCGAATTGCAGCCCGTGAAACAGTCGCGCATCAGAGAGAACAGCTTGAAGGATGCCGACGCGACCGACGCTCTGCGGGCGCTCAGAAGTTTCTCGGGTGAGTGCAACGACGATGAGAGCTTCGAGCTGCATCGAGAGCAGTTCGATTTTCGCAAGGGTGGCGCCGAACAGTCGGAACGTCAGGGCGGCAAGCGTCGGCGAGCGGAGACTCGTCGGAGGAGAACGGCCGAGTCGAGGAACAGCGTCGAAGATTCCGACGAAGAGAAGAACGACGACGAGGCGGCGAGAAAAAAGAGAGCGCGAGGCGGCAAGAATAACGTTTGCGCGAAAGCGCAACCGAAGAAGAAATTGACGAGATCGAGCAGGAAGAAAAGCGACGGAGAGAGCAATCATGGAACAAACGGCAAGTCCACGAAGAAGGATGGCGAAAGCAAAGAAAAGCGCGTGTCCGACTATGAGGAGGACAGCGACGAATACCTGGATTTGGACAAGACAGACTGCTTCAAGGACGAGATTTATGTGTACAGACGAGAGACGCCGTTGGACCCGAGCTTGAATTCGGAGTCGGAGGAGCCGGGAGCGACGAATCGCGAGATGCAGCGGGACCCTTGCGAAAAGAAGCACGCCACTACGGACGGTGATCTGTTCGACGAAGCCTTTCAGAAGAAAACATACGCTGAGAATATTTGTACGGACGAGAAGCAAAAAAAGTGCGCGTCCAGCGTGGACGACGGGATCGCCGAGAAGGAGGACGCCGCGAAAGAATTCGGCCAGAAGATCGACGCTATCATCCAAGCTAATTACCAGCGCGAGAACAACAACGTCGTCGGGCTGCAGATCTCGGAGGAGTCCTCCGCCGCCGCGTCGATGAACGCGGAGAGCAGCGACGCGGTCGACAGCAGTGACAGCGGCGGCGAGACGAAGAAGACGAAGAAGGCGAGGCGGAAGAAGCCCGAGCAGCAGGCGAAAGAGGCGGCGAACAAGCAGAAGAAGCACCGTTGCGTGGTGTGCGAGAAGCGCTTCACGGGCCGGGGCGGCCTGCGGGATCACTACAAGGTGGTGCACGGCGTCGGGCCGGTATTCATATGCGACCAGTGCGGCAAGGAGTTCGCGCTGAAGGAGCGCCTGAAGCTGCACATGCGTACGCACACCGGCTTCAAGCCGTACAAGTGCTCGGAGTGCGACAAGAGCTTCGCGCGCGGCAGCCAGCTCCATCAGCACCGTCGCCGGCACAGCCAGATCAAGCCGTACACCTGCGAGCTGTGCTCGAGGAACTTCACGTGCGCGGCCAATCTCTCGGTGCACTTGAAGCGCCACAGCGGCCAGAAGGATTATCTCTGCGATCTGTGCGGACGCGGCTTCCTGCGGCGCGACGCCCTGAAGAAGCACCTGCAGTGCCTGCACCGCGACGTCAAGTCCTTCCTCTGCGTCGTCTGCAACAAGACGTTCAAGGGCCACCTGTCGCAGCACATGAGGACACACGCGCGCGACCGTCCGTACGGGTGCGCGACGTGCGGCCAGCGTTTCGCCCAGAAGTCCCAGCTGACGGTGCACCAGAGGACCCACACGGGCCAGCGGCCGTTCCGCTGCCTCGTCTGCTGGCAGGCCTTCGCCCACTCGACTGCGCTGAAGCTGCACACCCGCCGCCACACCGGCGAACGGCCGTTCAAGTGCTACGAGTGCAACACCGGCTTCACGCAGCTGCCGCACTGGAAGAAGCACATGCGATGCATACACGGCAGGGACGATCCGTACGGCTGCCGGTACTGCGAGAGCTTCTTCAAGATGAAGAGCGACTTGGAGACGCACGAGAAGACCTACCACCCGACGGAGGTCGAGGCGGAGGAGAACGGCGACGATGTCAAGCTGATCAATGGCTCCGATATTATAATCGAGAAGAAATCGGTCACCGCCAAGTACAAGCTGATGACGGTGGAGAAAATGCGACTGCTGCTGGCGGTGCTGCTGAAGAAGATCAGCAAGCAGGAGCGACTGGACGAGCTCGGCTTCGGTAAACGTCTCATCGACGACGTCCTCAAGGACTCACTGGCGTCCGCCGGTAAGACACCGATCACGAAGAAGGGTCTGTCTGAACTCGAGGCTCTCACCCAGAATCTGGAGATCTTCCTCGAGTGGACGGTGCCGAAAGAGCACTGGGAGAATTTTCGTAAGAAGGAAAAGTCGCCTGGAGATATTCTGGAAGCGCTCACAGCTGAGTAAACGTGTTTCTTTGTTGCTGATAACTTTGTTATCTTGTGAAGTTTACGAAGGAGCGAGATCAAATCGGTAGTTAAATTATCCGCGAATTCACGCGAACGATAAAAGTCTTGCACTAAAATTTAATCATTTGCAGTCAATTTTTTCTTCTTTCCACTGCGATCTTTCACATAATTCTCTTTCCACCGATATGCTTTCCATTTCATTATCTTCCGATTTATCGGAAAAATTCTGAAAGTCAAATAAAATGCCAAACACCTGCGACGATCGACCGACATGATCTCTTACAGTCTTGGTGAAAAATAAATAATGATAACTCTTGCGCAAGAATTTTAAGGCATTATCGAGTCGTATTTCTAGTTACGTCAATCAACAGAAAGTGAAGCAATCAAGGCTAAAATCATCAATGTAACAATTTCTCTCACGTATTCCTTTTACCGCTCTGGGCTGCGCGTGTTTCCGTGTGATATCTAATCGATGGTAACTAACGAACGTTAAAGTAATCTGTAGTGCCATGTGTCATAATACTTGCCATACTAAGCCAGTGAGTGTGCCGTATTGTTTAGAAGCTAAGCAAGCTCCCGTTTCATTTGTAGCGTTAGATAAATTGACGGAGCGGCGTATTGAAGGGAAAGATCGTGTCTTTCAAGAGGCGGAAGCAAATCCAGCGCACTCCTACGCGATTTTATATAGCGACTGAGGTAGAGCTAGATGTTTTCTTGCCATGTTTGTTGAAACGTGTGTGCTTGCACACGAATGCACATTAGTGAGGAGTAGAAAAGGATCGTTGCACTTACATTTTATCCTAAACACAAGCACTTCTCGTCAACTATATACCAAAAATAATACGAGGCTATCATTAGTTATTCGCAATTATGTTTTTTCACATGCAATTGTTATTATTCCGTATATATTTATACAAATATATTCATATATATATATCTATTATATACACATTTATATAAATTTAACATTATTATATTATGAGATTCTTTTATGTGTTCACGAGCGAGCGCTGAGTATCAAAGACTCTGTTACGATTATGCGGCGCGTTCCCGTTTGTAGTTGATTATTCGTGACTTATCTCACGCGCTCGCGCGTAATTAACGATACGGTTTGATTGGTCGCGGATGAGCAAACAGAGTCGCCGTGCCGTGCCATTGCCGTTACTTTAGATAGTCGTATGTAAATGTGAGCAGACAATAATGAACGAAGGTTGCAAGATTTAGTATAAATTGAACGTGGAGGAGAAAAAAGATATATATTATATCCATATACACGTACACATATTATATATATTAGCATTATGTACACGATGTGTTGATGGCCGCGAGGGAAGAGGAACGCGATTTTTTATCTCGATTCTGAAGATGCCAACTCTTGGGAGAAATGCTTGCAGCATGATTTCATCTCGGTGAAAAAATTATAAATGTGCAATAACGTAAATTTATTGTATCAAACTCTGTAGTTGTTCGATAGAAATATTCTCTTCTCTCTTGCTTAGCGCGTAAAATCAAAATTACCTTGGTACTTTTAGAATTGAGTGTTTAATGCGAAGTTCCTTTCCTCGACCAACCATTAGAATATTTGTCGATCGTACGTGCGGCTAAAAATAGTGAAAAATGCTGCGGTTGGCGGTGCTACTTCGCGCAATAGAATTGTTCGAAATTTGAAAACTCATTGTTTCGAGAACGATTTGTTTTCAATTTTTCTTTTCGATTACGCGGAACGATCAAGGCGTGTTATATCGAATCCAAAGACTTTGTTGTTTTCATTGCCAGATATATGATGTATGCGCTGTTTGATATATCAATTTTATTTTCAGTTTTATTACTAGCAGGCATCGAAATGTACTTCTGCGTTGTGCGTCTCCGTAAAATAAAAAGGAAGAAGCGTCGAACGAGCAACGCGTTTTATTTATGCGTATGACGCATCTTGATGTATTAACATATGAGTGCGCGGCGCATGTAGTGACGTTTTGAAATTTATTCGAAAGATTGAAATCGCCTCGGTTTACGCGGATGCAAATAAGGGTCGGAGTGCATTTTGAATATAGATCGAGGTCAGAGAGGAGCCGTCGCGAATGTTCGATGGAAAGCGCAACTTCTTATACTCTCTTGATAAAGTCTGCACTTCGGTGATTTTAAGTTACGGTGCCAAAGCAAATAAATAGCGCGCTCACGAGAATAATTGGTCTGCGTTACCTGCTTTCTCATGAATTTTGTTGTCGCTATTGTTTTCGCTCGAAGTTACGAGATTGTATTTTAATCACATGCTTTAATCACATGATTTTTCCTGATGCCTTTACGTTCAACATCGGCGAAGAAAACTATTGTTTTTCTTTAGTGCCATAAATAATAGTCATGTTTGTATATTAATATATTATACGATGGAGAAGGCGAATAAACATTTTTCTTTACTCGCTTGTCTGTGTTTTTTTCAACTTTTTCATTGATTACAAATGATCGATCGATGTCGATATAATTTTTGTGCAAATTACGTCATGTTTATTAAAACATAGTTGGTTCTATTTTTCCATTTTTATTCAACTCGAAAGAATAAAATATATATCATCTTAAAGTATGATATTTATAAAGTACATATTCAAAAACATATCACTTGCATATATATAGCACATTTATATGTATATTACGATAAAAATATATTTTTATACTAAACGCATATCACATTAAGTCGAGATTTACATGTTACGCGATTGAAAATTCACGTTTAATTAATAATATTGCATATCATACTCAAAGTTTGTATACATCCAAGAAAATATGAACGGCTGTCTCATGTCCACTTGCAAGTCAGTGATACTTAGGCTCTGAAATGATTTTTGCATGTTTGAAAATTTGTACATCTCAATTATCGTTTGAAATATTAATATTCAATAGAACTTACCGATGTGAAAACGTCGTAGTTATATTTTATTTCCTTGTCATTTAATAATACTTTGGAGACTTGGTCTAATCCCAAAATCCGAACATTCCCCAGAATTACCTCCTCGTCAAAAAGGCCGTTATCTATTTTCTTGTTTTTCAAACTGAATTTGTTTGCAGTGAAAGACAGCCACAAATATTGGTTCTTTTTTAAAGAATCTGTAGATTAAGAAGAATAGTTGGAATCTCATCGTGAGTGGTACACAGCTTTCTCGGTGTGATATACAGGGTGTTTCGGATCGAACGCAGGTCCTTGAAGGGGTGGATAGATCTCGATAACGTGAGTAAAAAATGTCCGTACAAGAAAATTGTGAGGTCAATAGTTCGCATTTTGCGCCGTCAGAAGAATTTATTTCTTATACACAAGCGATTGTTTAAAACAATTGAGTTTTATTTTAATATTTACTAATATGATAGTGTTAATAATAATTTCTAAACAATATGTAATTGATGTGGCAGAATGTATTGCAAACGAGAATGATTCATGCCGCGCTGCTCCTGACGGCGCGAAATGCGAGCCCCGTGATTGGTTAACTTCAAATGCATTTTATTCAAAAACTATTGATCTCACAATTTTCTTGTACGAACATTTTTTACTCACGTTATCGAGATCTATCCTTCAAGGACCTGCGTTTGATCTGAAACACCCTGTATAATATCACTTACCTATACTGTCACCGTCGTCCCAGTACAATTCTCCTGTGGCATTTCCAGCCTCGTCCAGTGCTACTAATAATTCAAATTTATTCTTTCTGCTCTCCGTTGTAGTTACACCTGGTTTCTGTGCCGGAAGAATCGATCCTCCACGAATTAATAATGGTATTCTGTCCACCGGCGCTGGTAATGTGTAATGTTTGCCGATGGAGAAGAAAGATTTAAAACTATAATAATCGTACCACAAGCCACGTGGTATATAAACGGGTATCTCAATTATATTCTGTGAAATGTAAACGACAGCGATTAGCAAACTATCGGACATTGTGTAAAGTGATGAAATTAATTCAAATAAGTGGCGTACTTCTTCGAGAACTGGATTGATCATAAGCGCGCTTCCCCAGAGAAATTGCGTATCAATATCGTAAGTCTGTCGGTCATTGGTAAACCTGCAAAACGTTTTGATATAGGATGCCATTCGTGATATGAATGTGACAGAGGATAATTTGATACATACTCGAAGAATAATGGGCGTGCTACTGTTTCTCCGAATTTATGTGCTCTGAAGAATAAGGTATATAAATATGGTAAAAATCGATAACGTATTTTGAAAGCATTTTTTGACGACCGCACGACTAAATCACCCATAGCGACTGGATCCTGCTCCTGTGTAAGACATTCGGACATTTATATTTATTCGAAGTATTTCATTTTTTATTATTTTGTATATCGACATGCTCACAATTGTGTCGTCGGAATTGTGATTTCGCGAAAATGGATAAAAGGCACCGAGTTGCATCCAACGGTTACACAACGCAGCGGTTGTGTTGCCGTCAAAACCGCAAATGTCAGCGCCCACCATTGGGATTTGATAGAAATTCAGTGACAAAATTGCCGGAATGCTCATCTTCAGATCATGCCTGATGAAATAATTTCTCAGTTAATGAATATATAAAAAGTATAACGATCAATTGAGACGTATTATAATCACCATGATGAGTAAACGTCGCCTGTCCAGTGGCCCGCGTAATGACCGTGTCCTACCCACGTTGACCGCGATATTATGAATGGCCTTTTCTGTCTGATCTTCCTCAGGGCACTGTGCACAGTTTTTAAGATCAATTTACTCAAGTACTCTCTGTACAAATAAAAACACAATTATGAATTGCATTTCCACTTACTAATTCGTGGCAATCGCTTGGCTCGTTCCGTAAGTATTGTGAAGATCGTAATGAAAGCCCAAGTAATGTCTTGCATTCATGCACAGAGTTTTCGTAGCGAGCAAACCACCGACGACATTGGGTATATATTCGGGATAATCCAGATTATTGTGTATACAGCCATTCTTGTTACCATTGTAGAAGTTGGACGGTTCATTCATATCCTTCGTGTAATTGGAACAATTGAATAATTTCGTCATTTATTTCTTATCGAGAAGAAATTTTATAAATCGGTCAAGACTTACGATCCATGCACCGTCGTATGCAAAATTATTGTGCATATCGCCCATCATATTTGCGTAGTACTCCATCGTTTTAGGATTCGTGAAATCAGGCCATGTGGTGGAAACAAAATTCCAAACTTTGCCAACGAAAGGTTTATACGATACGCCGTCTTTTATGAATATGTCCTGCTTTACCCCTTCATCGTACGGCAAGTAAGAGCCATTGTCGTCGAAAGCGGATATGCCAGCATCAATTAACGGAATATAATGCATTCCCACCTGTAATAAAAAAAATTACTATGTTCGCTCGCGATTTATGAAATAATCGTTTATATCTGTATACTGTACCGAGTGAATTTCTTCTACAAACTTAGGCAAATCTTTGAATTTCTCCTTATTATACGTAAAATCATTGTTTTTGTCCATATAATCCAAATCATTCCATTGAGTATCCTACGAACACGGTATGAATTTCAACATTCCATTTATATATATCAAGATATTTTGTAAATAATATAAAATAGCAGGCATTACAAATGGAATTCCGGCTGCTCTCGTTCTGTTCCATACTGCTTTCGTATTTTCCAAGTTTCCATATCCAAATCTGTGGGCATGTAAAGAATGTTATTATCCGTGTCAAATGTTATTTTATTTCAGCAATATACCTGCATAAATGAAAACCGAGTGACCAATAAGGTGGCATAAACGGTTTGCCCACGATCTCGGAATACTGTTTCACAACGTCCGCTGGAGTGGGCCCCAAAAAGAAATAAATATCGAAAATACCGCCGATGGTCCTGAACGTTATAGCTGGTGTAGGTTGCAATATTACATCTAAAAGATACGGAATATTTAAATTACTTCGAATAAAATTATACAATATTATTCACACATGAAGCAAAACATACCCATGGCGTTGCTATTTAAGAATAAAACTCCATGAGCCATTCCAGACTCCTCCACAACAATATAAAACGGATGAGATCCGTACAAATTCGCCTAATTAAAAAAATTAAGAAGATATTATTTTTTCTGTACTATAAGACAGCACATTATGCGATAGAATGATTAAAATTTTAAGCAACTTACATTTTCTGTTGGTGGCTGATCTTTATTGAACAAAGTAAACGATTGCCAGTTAGTATTCAATTTTAAGCTTGACCTATGCTCGCCAATGCCATAAATGTTACTCGTTGGTAATAATGTGCTTATTTGTAAGAACTGATCAGCAAATATAAAACCACCGACAGAATTGAATCTGAATCGAATAGAATACATTATCAATATAATTTGAGTAATATATTCATAGCACATCAAAATAATGCAACTTAATCAATTTTTTTTAAATACAAATATAATATATACTTACAATGTTGTGCCATCACTAACTCTATCAACCTTAAAAGCGGGAGGTCTTAAATTATCATTCTTAAATTCATATTTTTTGTTCGTAACTTTGGGCAAAAATGGCTTAGGATTTGATCTGATAGGCCATGGTGGTTCATATCGTGCTTTTAAGGGGTCATATATCTAAAAATCATATTCCGTTATTTTCTTATTACATTGTGATGTGATACTAATGTGTTCTGCGAATATTTCTCATACCTTCACACGCAGAATGGAACTATCTATGCCTGTAGCTTCTATTTTCACAAGAGGCACATCATTTTTGTATACAGAGTTCCTCTTTTGGCTGAGAAAACCTGAGAAATTGCTTTCATCCTGACTGCAGTTAACATATCCATACAGACTCCAATCTCCAGAATAATAACAATAAGGAATATTTAATGGGATACGTTTTGCAGTTTTGATATCTTTTTTAGGAGGATTCCAACAACATTTTCTGTTCATACAGGACAGTTCAGACGCTCCGTCCTCCGGATGGCAATCAAAACGCAAGATTTCAGGAACGTTGGTGCACTGTTTCAAACATACAACATAGTAACAAAATTAATACACATTAATGTGTTATCTGCTTTTTTCTTATAAAAGAGAGATTCGATTCTTTACTTACTTGAGTATCTTCAAATGATAATGTCTTGTAATCATATTCTTGTTGTTCAATGTGCATGTCTGAGGTATCCATTATTATATGCTGGTATCTTGTCTTTTCAATATCATTGTTTACGTCAATTATTTGTATTTCTGCATCATAATCACTTGTGTTGGTATATAATGGAAGTAAAACAAAAGATAACAGCATAAAACCAATATAAAATTGAGAAAATATAAATGCAATGAGCAATAAACGTATAATTATTCTCTTTCTAAAAGAAGTAGAATTGTTTGCTTCTTTTTCTTCATGATCTTTTCCTGCCAATGACTTATAAGTTCCATTGTCTAACTTTACAATCACATTGTTACCAATTTTTGTATTGTTTGAGCAATCTTTAACCGATGTATTGTGATGCTCTGATTTTCCACGAGCATTGTGTCCACTTGCTTTTATATTAGTCATTTTTTAAATCAGATCAAAAATAACAATCATAAGCAGTTTTTAATTAATTGTATCTGAAAATAATACATAAAGATATTGAGATATTTTATGCAAGAACGCACTTGTACATTGCACTATGAATTATGTATATTTACAAAATAGACACAATAAGTACAAAGTCTAAATCTAATTGTATAATCTTTTTTTTATAAATTGCACATATTTTATTAATTATTATTTTAATAATATATGCGTCCTTATCTTAATCACAAAAAAGTATGTTTTAAAATATGTTCTATTTGGAATAAGAAACATGTTTCACAATCTTTCTGTCTAAAATAGTAAATTATAACCTGTAAGCAGTCGGCATCACATGTACGCACAATGACAAAAATATATGTACTGAATTTCTATAAATAAAATATCGTTATGTATATATGTCGAGTCACACTGAGTTTATATTAAATAATTATTTTTAGGTAGGAAAATTTCACGCTTTCAATCTCTCGCTGCACTCTCCTGCAGCGTATAATATACTATGCACTGTATGCATCATGCGTATTGCGTATGCATCATTCTGGATGTTCAGCGATTTTTTCCTTTCTTATCAAGAATTCTAATATATTCACAAGTGTTTCGTCTGGAAAAATACAATTTGCGAATTACACATTAATGTTTCTTGTTAATATTATTTATATAATAAATTTAAATTTGACAAGTAAATGCCTGTTAATAGTTCACAAATTTGGTGTATTCTTTTTATCCTATAGGTTAAAGCTCCTCATTGTGCTTATCAAATTCTCGCTTTATCGGTCATTCTGATAAATAATGAATGTTTTAAACATTCATTTTAACCAGCATACAAGAGGGAGAGATTGAAAACTTTATATAATCAAAACAGGATAAAAATTTGTGTACATTTTAATCAATAGTATAAATACATTTATATATATATATATTTTTTTTATACAAAAAATATATTTATGTATTCTGCATGGAATCACTGAGACAATTTTTCTTCTCTTCACACTTTTGAACGATACCTGGAAATAAAATTGTATTTTTTTCGTCTCATAATTTTTAAGCTAGATATTTCCTTATAAAATAAGTTAAAATCTTACGTTTGCAAATTTTATTTAAAGCACTAATGGTTGGTGAATCTTGGAATTCTGCCAAGAAATTTCTGCCCTCATCACAACACCTGGCTAACAATGGATCCAAAGGTATCGAACCTAAAAACTCTACATTTAATTCATTCGACATCATTTGAGCATCACCTGTGGAAGCTGGGAATATTTCTGCTGCATTCTGTGTACAAAAATGTTTCGTTAATTATGAATTAATATTTCTTTTTTTTCTTTTAATATTATTCAAATTACTATCCTTACCTTACATTTAGGACATACGAAAATACTCATATTCTCAATCACACCCAAGATCGGAATGTTTACTTTTTTACAGAAGTTTATTTCCTTCCTAACATCTAAAAGAGCAACTTGTGGTGGCGTGGTCACAATTATGGCACCCGTAATGCCAGTATCTTTTAAATACAACGTAGCTGACAGATGCTCATCCGATGTGCCAGGCGGTGTATCCAGTATAAGATAATCTAAGTTACCCCAGTCAACTTCCGATAAGAATTGTCTGATCATTTCTGAGAGAATATGCATCAATATATGAAAATTTATATACAGTAAAAAATATTATAAATCAATATATAATAAAAGTGATGAAAAATGAAACCCTAAAACACAATACCATTTTTCTTTGGTCCTCTCCATATAACTGCGTCACTTGGACTGTCGAGCAAAAATCCAATTGACATTAATGACAAATTATCCTCGATATACTGGAATAAAATCATATTTAATGTCATATCTTTTTTATTGTCATAGTGTTTTATTTCGATAAATTTACTTACTACAGGCGACCATCCGGATCCACTCTTATGAACTCGTTCACCGAGTGCTCCGAGCACTCTTGGTTGTGATGGTCCGCAGATGTCAATGTCCAATACTCCAATCTACAAATATATAGATAAGATACATAATTTGACAGAATTTAAAATATAAAATATTAAGATTATAAAAAATTAAACAGTATTTTGCACTAGTTTATCAGTATATATTTAATTTATCTTGATTTGAAATACTAAAAGAGAAGGAGAGCCCCAAAAGTTTGGTAATCAATAAAAGACTGGTACAGGTTGATACGACATACATAGGTATCAATTGACTATAGATATTTGTTGTCTGAGGTTATTTCCTACAAACTAGCTAGTAGCATTCCTGGATTATGTCAACATGTACATTGAAAATCACATGGATGTGCTTGGAATGGGCAGAAGGGTAAGTTCTTATTTTTCAATTTTGTTATATAGATGTATGTTATGCTTTTGTCATCACAAAATATGTATCATTTATGTGAGATAAAATTAAGATAAAATAATCAAAGTGCTTCTTTATATCTTTCAAACAAAATTCATTTCAAGCACATTTTTGTAATTATTTTGTGATTAATGGTATTTACATTTCTGTCAGGATTATTTGCCGCAAGGCACCTGGATATCAAAGATGTTATAGTACTCTTGCCTACTCCACCCTTGCCTGAAAGCACTAGTAGCTTATTGTGTACTGAAGAAAGCCTTTCCTTCACAAGCGCTATGCCAGGATCTGGTTTCTTGGTTGCTCCAGACGAGCACAGCGACTGATTCGGGCATCCTGCACACGATGATGCTTTGCCAGCACTGTCACTCTGAGTTCCAGGACAGTCTGAAAAGTTTTATAAATTTTTTATGTTTTATAAATTTGTAGCATTTTGCAGCACCTTATAGATATATAATAAGAATTACGTAGAAGATTAAAATTTTTCACACAACACTATATTTTATACTATATTTTATTATGCTAATCAGATTGAATATTTCTTGAACAATGCAAAAGGAATGTCAATATTGATATCAAAGTCAGAATTGAAATACAGATATTATTCTCATTTAAAATAATGTATAATCATTTAACCTAAAACTTTTTGACATGTGATCTGGCACAAACAGCTGATAATAAACGTTAAAAATCAATGACCCTATAATCTTGACGAATGTAATGTTATCTCTACCTATTTTATTTTATTCTTAAAAACAATTAAAAACTAGATTTCGTATATTTACGTTCAGGAGCTTCGTTAGGTACATCTGCCATGTTGGACTATTAATTTTCTTCTAATGGTACATACCTATCATATAGAGAAAAGGACTTTGTACTTTCAGAAAATTAATTTACTATTACTGTATATTTTTATAGGATTTTTTTTCTTAGATATAATTAATTCAAATTTTCTATAAATTTTACACAGTGATAAATACAAGTTATGCAATTAATATCCCGATGACTGTACTTTTTCTTATCATGAATAACAATCAAAATAAATGTTAGTGTCAGTCAGTGATGCAAGATCGAACATTCTGCATCAAGCACCACATGAGGGGAAGAGCCCCCACCATGGCGGCACCACCCAAGCGAGTATCGCTAACGTCACGTGTCGTGTGCGTTCGCCGTTCCACAGCGTACGATGTACGATTCATAAGCTATTGGAACGACGAGCGCACACGGACACGAACGTCAGCGATGCTCGCTTGTGTGGTGCCGCCATGGTGGGGGCTCTTCCCCTCATGTGATGCTTGATGCAGGATGCTCGATCTTGCACCACCGGTGTCAGTAAAAGCATTGTTAATTACCATATTCATTTTATATTTATACGCATGCGCGAATAATTATATTAATCTATTATTCAAATTCTTCAAGAAACAAAAATAACAAAATATATTTTTATACAAATTAATTTTTTAGCAGTTGCAACCATGGAGTATAGTTGGAAGTTCAATGCCATATGTGGAACCAATAATTCCAATTCGTATAGGTGATTACACTCGCACACATAACTTATTACCTTGGAGACCAAACATTGGATTTGAGAACACTGAAGTCATTCCCTTGTAAGTAGATTCAGTGCTTCTTTAACAAGTAGTTATAATTCATTTACCTCTATGATAACAGTTATCAATATAGGTTTTGGAATCCTTTACAGATATACAGAATAATATTGATTTAACAAACTGACGTAGTTTTCTATACATTATATCAGTGCTGGTTTCTGCAGATTCTTATCTTTCTCTTGAGTAAATACTTACACAAGAAGAGAGGGTGATATGTAGATTTTTATACACCAAAGTATATAATTACTAAATTATTTTTGCAGGGCTGCAAAATCAATATCAAGTTACGCACTGGATACAAGCAATAAAATGAGTACACCGTTAAAATTCCCAAATCTGATAACGGGCTATCATCGTAATCCTGTTCATGCATCACAAGCTGCCCTTTATACAAGATACACGCCGCACGAGTGGTTCCAGAAACAAGTGAAATATTACAATGAGGCAAATTCGCAAAGACATTACTCCGAAAGGATGAGGAATGATGCTATGAGAATTATCAGGTACAACAGCTTCTTATTTTTTATATATAGAATTATGCAGAATTATTTGAATTCGAAAATATCTTTTAGGGATGCTGAGGAAAAGATACAACATGGCCAGTATGATACTAGTCGAAGACTTGGTGAACGAATAAACGACGTTACTTTTTGGCGCAATGAAGTGACATCAGAATTGGAAAGGATGCTCCAGGAAATCGAGAGACTTCAGGATTGTCGGAGTGTCCTAGAAAAAGCAATACGAGATATTGAAGGGCCTTTGCATATTGCAGAGGAATGTCTTTATCATAGAGAAGCTAGAAAAGGCGAGTAAGATATTACAAAGCTATTTTTAACTTATATTTCATACATAAAATATTGTGGCCTTATAATCTTATTCTGTTTTCATGTTTCTTTAGGCACAGAATTAGTGCATGACGACTCGGAAAAGTGTTTACTACGAGAAGTGAATAATTTACGGACGAATCAAAAGAAACTAGAAAGTTGTTTGGATAAATGCAAGGACCAGGTAGAATTTATACTCATATTTTTTTTGTACGCTTAGTATGATTTTTATATAGTCAATTGATATAATTAATTAATATTTTCCTTGCAGTTACGCAATTGCAGAGCCTCGCAAAATCAATTGGAATTAGATTTAAAGAACAAGGAGAGTGCTTTAGGCATAGACACTATTTGTCATCAATTGACTAATCATACCCAAGGATTACAATATTATTCCGGGATTGAGAGACACGATCCATGGTATTTAATTGTGGTTTTTTGAATTTAGAATTTTAAATTTACATTTTTAGAACATAATTACATATATTGTCTTGTTAGTGTTTCAGAGCAAGAAACTTGGGCTGATGCTGTGAACAGAATAGTGCAAAGATCCCAAACGGAACGGAACAAATCAAGTCAATTACGTACCACTGCCGAAAGTCTTATCAATAAAGTCGCTCAAGAGATGTGGAATACTTGGAGCAACACTAATAACGCTTTAGCGCATAGATCCTCCGAATTACTTGAGGCTAAGAGCAAGCTTCAACAGCATTTGCAAAAGGTATAAAAGATAGCATGCGTATTTTTACAAACTAAATCTAATTTATGAATATTTATTATAGGTGCAACAGGAAATATTCGACGTTGAAAAGAATTTGGAATTAATGCGTAAAGCTATCGCGGACAAAAGTTATGCAACTAAAGTTGCTCATACAAGAATGGAGGCAAGAATGCACCGTCCTGATATAGAGTTGTGTCGTGATTATGCTTATGCGAGGTATGTATTATTCATTTAAAACGGTGACGTGAAACGGGAGAATGAGTGATTGTCTTAAAATATTGTTCTTATTTTGCAGTCTTCAGAAAGAAATTGACGAAATAAATCATCAACTTGAACGAATGCACAAGACACTGAAAGAACTTGAGAATCAACATCAAAAATTGTTGAGGACTCGAACTATGTTGGAACACGATCTTGCGCTCAAAATCGATGCGATATACATCGATAGAGAGAAAGTCTGCGGTCTTAGACGCGCGTACCCTGTTAATGCGTTGTTTAGATTTTAAAGGCGTATTCTTTGTCAACGCCATGTTCTACATATGAATACTGCCATTTACATTTATGAGAATGTTCAATCGTGTTATTTGGAATGCACTCCTAAAGGAATTTAGGCTATGTGATATGTCCATATTTTGAAGAATTTGAAAAAAAAACATTAAATATTTATTTGTTTGTACAATTATATTAACTAGGAATAATTACGTTTCACTTTGATGAATGACTTCTGGCATAGCTTGGTATAGGTAGATTAAATCCTGGTTTGGCTTCAAAAAATGTATAAGACAGAACTATTTCATCAACAAATTCCATTTTTGGATCTTCTATAAATTCTGGATCTATGTAGAAAAACACTGGCATGTCAACCTTAAAGCGCAAAAATAATAATTCATATTATACTGCCCAATTTAATTATACAAATCATACATTTGTATAAATGCTCAAAATTTTTGTTGTTAGAGTAAAAGTTGACATTTAAAAGAATGGCTCTATAACTCGTTAGTTGCAAAAAAATAGATGTATTATTCCGCATATTAGTATATCATTAATAAACTTACTTGTTCATGCGGAGTGAGCATTTGTTCCTCAAAACAAAAGCATTGTATTTTATTGAAATACTGTCCTACTTCAAAAGGTATAACATTATATGTTGATATTCCTACAATTTGTTGATCAGTTGGGTTTGTAGCTGTATAAAATGCTAAAGCCGTCTCTCCAGGAATAACTGTTATCTCTTTTTGCTGCGGTTTAAAGTTCCATTGCATTGACGCTGCTGTATCTGCACTAAACCTGACTTTGATTGTTCTGTTTTTCACAGGCGACATTGCACTCACTTTATTAGCATCATGACCAGCGATTGTTCCACCATAACTATATGACTATATAATAAAAAGAACATCCAATAAAAGGAACATACTGAAAAATGCGTAATAGAAGAAACTTATTGAGATTGTTACATGAATAATGATAATGCTGTATTTGTTGAATATACAAAACTGAGTTGAAAAATAATGTATATAGCTGTTTTTAAAATTCTGATTAAAATTGTGATTATACCTGACAAAACATTCTGTACAAAGGCACTGCAGAATAACTCAATCCAACCACCAGAACTCCGACTCCAGCCCAATAAAAGGCAGTAGAGCGTAATTTCCTTTTGAACGAAGTGTCAGAATGATCCTTCATTAAATTTCGTGACACGTTGGTATATATTTGCCTAATGCAAATCCGTGTCAATCGTTGATAAGAGTTAAAATACATTTTTCCAGATAATCCTGCACGATGTAAGGAATTCCTAACCTGATTTAATACGTTTACATTTTACATTTATGTTTCACAATTAAAAATTAAACCTTCCTCAAAAGCATGATAACATTAAATAATGGATAAACCGCAGTTTTTTTTCAAAGAAGGATGCGTGTCAGATCCGTATTGCAAAATTCCGGCAAAATTATGAAATTAACCTCAAAATATTTATTAAGACTGCACTGACTGACAGGAACACTGTTACCAACCGATATAATCTGACAGCCATTAATGTAAGAGTTTATCCATAAGAAGATGCATAAGGAAATGGACCAATTAATTATGAGTATGCTTAGGCATTATGCAAGTTTGCCTGGATATATCCTAATAATCAAAGTTGGCACACATGGCATATCGAAATGCAAATTGCGATTCTCACATATCGAAATCTGAATGAAAGAGCTAACTTTCTTTTGATGCGCACCTCAATCAAATAGCGTTTTCGATTATACAGGATTTGAACGACCCAGGGTTGATCAATCACTATTTTACTATAAATGCAAGTCTTTCATTGGTGGAGAGGTTGCAATGACGTCATTAACCAACCCTGGGTCGTTCAAATCCTGTATAATCGAAAACGCTAAAAGAAGCAGGTAAGTTTGAGCACTCCGACTTTAATAATTTACATAATAATCACTATTTCGAGCAGTTCTAAATATGATTTAAGCAATGCTTCTATTTTGTGTATAAAATATAGTAATATTCATCTCGTAATTTTAGAAATGAAACATCGACATTGAGATACCGGAGTAAGGGTTAAATTTCACGATATCGCGATAAGAGTCAGACATTTTCTAGATGTGTTTCAACAAGCTACGGGGAATAATTGATAATATTTTATTCAACATTCCTCATAAAAGTATAGATCTTGGCTAGTCTGGTGCCAAGTTCAAATGAGTGAGCAATTTAAATTAAGATAACGTTGTTCGCGCTGCCGCCATGACAGGTGTCGCTACTTGCATCGTTTCGGAACGTTTAGAGCGCGAATGCTCCGCGTCAACCGCGTTTTTATCCTGTCAATCCGTATTAATCCGCGTTCAAAACGCATTATAAGTGTGTGAGTTTTTACCGGGAGTGTCGGGACGTAATTATTTACTATCGTATACTCGCGATTCATGTGCGTTTTGTCGATCGTTGTACGTGCTGCATCTAGTTTGTACGAGAGCAGAGATGACGAGAATATCATCTTTACGTTCGCTCAACAAAGCACTGCAGGTACGTACTTTTCCTTAAATATAATTTGGTTTATCGGAATTAAAGATAGTAATAATGTGTAGTGTTGGTTTGCAGGTGTCCATGTTTCACGACTTTTGCATCGTCAACGCAATTATTGTTTATCTCACTCACTTCGAGTTCATGTACAATGTTGAGTCGACCGTCGAATATGTCAAGTAAACAATCGAATAATTACACGCGCAAATGCATCGCGGAAAGATGTTTTATCTTTTATGTTTACGTTTCGTGTACCATGTTTTCGTGCAGCATGGCAAATTCGCGATTGATTCGTAATTTTTAAAGTGTGCGTGTAAATTTTCGTTCGGTAGTGCGACTTTTCGATATTTAAGTGCGGAATTTCATCGAATTCTTTTATTGGCTTGATGAGGAGCAACCCAAAGAGAGATCTGCAGATGCAAACTGGTGAATACAATTATTTATTATTTAAATATATATACATAATTGGGATAACACATATATACAATTACACAATTATGTCTTTATTAAATATTCATTAAAATATTGAAAATATTTATTAAAATTTTTAAATAATTATTTACGTTTCAATGACTTATGTCTTGTGTAATTATGCCTTAATAAATTAAGCCTTAATAATATATAATAATCAATAAACATAAAATGATAATTCATAATAATTAAAATGTATATTATTTTTTTCAGGTACATTTGTAATGCCGTATAGCTGCCGTATTTAGTTGTTGTATTTTGTTGCCGTATTTTGTTAGCTGTGATACAACGATCGGTGAGTGAAATTTTTGATTATATTTATATTTACGGATAAATTTAAATCAGGATTATTAAAGATCAGTGCTACATCTATTGGAATTAATTTAATAAATTTTTAATTCATAAAAAGAAATAAGAAATAATAAAAATACAAATTAATATTTTTTTAATTGTCTAAAAAATTTAAAACTTTAATCATAAGTCTGGTAAAACTTCAATAAAATATTATTGTAGAATAAAATAGAAGGAGTAATTAAAGATTGGATTAATTCGTGAGTTGTACGTAATATTTGAAAAATGTGAATACATTTTATTTATGTCATATGAGTATAAAAGGCTGTTTGAGTTAAACTTCAATATAAATAACTGTGCAATGGAAATGTAAAGTAGTCATACATATATGTAATAACAATCAATTCTCTTGTACCCATTACAAATCGAAATCGTAATCTTTAACTAGTATAACCATTATACAAAGAAACAAATTCAAAAATAAGTAAACTTTACATTATTAAACAAACAATATATTACTTAAATGAGCAAATTTAATTTTTTTTCCATTTTTACTTTAAAAAAATGGAACTCGTTTAATTAAATAGCTTTAATTAAATAGATAAAACATAATAAAAGTACATATTTTCTGTATTCCTTTGAAACTATTTAAAAAATTATATTTTTTATCAAAAGTGAGATTTATAATTTCATATTATATGTGTAGAAGAATGCATAAAAATAAGACACATACATATTAGTTGAGGAATAACAGTGCATTATTTATGTATTTCATAAACAAGAATTATAATCATGAATGTATATTGCAGCAGGTAGGTTCACGTCATAATAATACATAATTTTGTTGCGTATCTTGACAAGTTAACAAAAAATATTTCTTAGCTCGTTATTATTTTATGGAACTCTTATATCATACTACACATATGGCACAAATATTGTTCTCTATATAAAACACAAAATTTGAATGTCTATTTAAGAATATTCTTTTTCTACAATTTCGACTGAAATTTCTTTTCTTGCCTTTTAATACAATGAGAACATTGAGCCATTATGTAATCACATAAAGCATGTAATTAATAATTACATGATAATTATTCGTGTAGAAGATAACTAATTGAAAGCTAGATCTCTATGATTATCGTAAACGTGTTACATACATATCATATCTTGCTTATCCTACTGAAAACTATAATACTCGAAATCTCAAACGTAAGGACTAGAGCATATGTTTGGCACAATCAAGAGGTATTTGCAATCGTTCTCTAATCTACTTCCTGCATCGATCACTCTGATTGATTAAAATCTAAAATTCATGGAAAAGTGCACCAAAGATTTTTATTTCTTTTTTATTTATTTTTTTTAATTGGATAATAAAGCTGGATAGAAAGTTTCATTAAAGAAAAACACATGAAATAATTTCACCTTTTCTTATGACTTGCTCAATTATAGATTTTGTTGCGTGATTTATGTTCCATACTTATATAAAAATGAATACAAAATTATTAGAATATTTTCCGGAAGAATACGCGCAACAAAAATAATAAAAATAATTGATTATCACAAATTATTTCCATGGATTTTATTTTTCAATTTCTCAGTAACCAACTTTCCTCGTTATTTGTTACACCTTTAAGTTCAACTTGTGAAAGTTGAGACGGATTTAATTATGGCCGTTTATTTTTATATACACTTGATGTGTATAAGTACCTAAATTTACGGATGCACCATTATGTAGTGTACAGCCTCGTCGTTGTGTCGAATACTTGTATCTAGATATAATATTGGGCACGATGGGCATTTGCTCATCCAAAATCTCACCCAAGCATACAGATGCTTCCTGTATAAAACTCGCTATAAATTATCACTATCTTTCTTTGGCACGAATTTGACAATCACGAACATCGAAAATACAGTAACTTTGAAGCTATTTCTCATTTACATTTGTATTAAATGTTTCGCTATACTTTTCGCGATTTCAAAAAAGTGACTTCTATAAACTAAGGTGTTATAAGTACAATTATTGATTCTAATCAATATTTATATATACGCGTCATGAATATTTTTAATGGCGCTTCGTTTTTTGCACTGATGGTGTTTGTTGTTCATGGTGTTTCTCAAATCGGCGTTTTTCTAACTGTATATTCGTATATAACAGAACATTTTTGAAATAATTTCAATTAAATCGACATTTTTTTAGTTGGATTCATATATTCGTAGTGTTTTTAATGCATTTTGCAATCAAATTTACGTTTGGAAAAACTTTGTTTTAATACAATTAGGTGCGATTTCTCTATCGATAATTCATAATCAATCAATAATGTCGTTTATGTATCGTATAGAATAATATTTAATGCTATGCCTGAAATTTTTTTGGCATTACGAAGTTCTGATTCATATAGTAGCGGATTGCTTATATCCTAATTTAGAACTAAAAGATCATTAAATCTTTTTCATCAAAAATGCTTAATAAAATTACATTATATTAAAAGAATCGTAGACAAGCTTTCTAAAATTGCACTATCCCGTCAAACTTACGACGCAGAAGTACGATAAACAATTGTTTTCAGTACATTGGTATTTAAAGAATCACAGATCATGTTGCAATATCAATCGACAAATAAATAATTTGCTAAATATATATACAAACAAATAAATAAGAAATCGGATAACGGTAATATAAATCAAGACGAAGACGGCGTTTCAGTTGCGCGACTCGTAGCTGCAATTCGCGTAGAGATGAATTCTTTGATGGTCCCGCAGATGATGACGGTGCTTGAATCGCTTTTTGCAATTGGCGCACTGAAATCTGGGCCCGACGCCGCATTCGAGGCGCAAATGCCTCGTCAGGTTGCACTTGTGCGAATAAGTACGACCGCATTTCGGGCAAAGAAACGGCGGCCCGTCCTCCGCTTCCTTCAATCGCTTCCAGACTGAAACATTCATTGTGAAGAATACAGTGAGATATGCACACACTTTTCTTTTTCTCTTGCTCTCATAAACGAACGTACGCAACTAAAGAAGCATTAGGCGCAAACGAAAACCATCGGGTATACGTACAGCGAATCATGCCATAAGTCAGGGCGCTCTCATCATACAGATTTCTCTTTTCGACGATAGATCTCTTTCTCTCTCTCTCTCTCTCTTTCGTATGTGCCTGATTTTGCGCTACAGCCCCTCATAGTTTTTAGCGTCTCTAAACTACATGCATTTGCGAAGCAGGCATAAATTGCCTTCGGCGATTTTGCGTGATAAATTGCATTGTGCTACAGTTTTACAACAAAAATATATTTCTGCAACAAATAATTTCAATATTCTCTAAATCGGGGATAGGCCCAAATCATCGATTTATTATGTCATATAATGAATATTTAGTAGTCGATTTCTGTTTACGTAAATTTTTTAAACAGTGCAAATTAATTTGTCATGTTTATATTTCTAATACATCGAGTTATATCTTTTCATTTATTACAATTATTTGAATTATTGCTATGATATTTTATTATTATTAATAATATATATTTTCATATTTTTAAAAAAAGAAACTCAGTTAAATACTTTTCTGTTTAGTATAAATCAGTATCGTGAATCTTGTCCATCCCTGATTTAAGACGTTACTTAAGACATTACTGCATGCATTTAACAATCATCTACGTCTTATTTTCATGTAAAATGGATATAATGAATATATAAGAGGAATATTATATTAATGTGAAGAGTAATATCGGTTAAATTATAATGGTTTCAGAAACGTTTCAGAGAAAAAAGTTGCGCGATAAAGCGATTACTTTGAGAAAAAATTTCAAAATTCGCGCTATTAAATATTTGTGCAGTTGTTAATTATTAAGTAAGAATAAAATGCAATAGGAAGCGCGTTAATATTTATATAGTACAGGGCCATTTCTAACAAAATATTAACAAAATTCTATGAATTATAAAATATGCATATATTTATTTTTACTGCAGTTAGTACAGTCAGTATATGTAAAGATATGTATATATTTATGCATGTCCGCATATATACATAAAATTCAAATTTCTATATATATATAACAACGAAAACTTATGACATGCAACTCATTGATGCTTTTGATTTTTTTAACATAAAGTAGCTAAACTGTAATCAATAGTAGTAATGAATAAAAAAAGTGTGTTTTTTAAATAGTGCAAAGAAATTTGACTATAAACTTTTGACATAACTCAAATATTTATTGAATAACGTTAACGTCAAAAATTTTCTGCGTATTGAAATTAAAGCTTTAAGCTTAATGACGATAATTATATTCGATAAATATTTAAATATTATATTAAAGCCTTTGTAATTACAGTTTTTTAATACTTTTTAAGAGGTATTTTCTCGCTCATACAGTTAATTGCGTAATTTAACTGCTTAATACTCGTAAAACACAAAAATATAGTGAGGTACGTATCATGAGTTTTCCTTATAAATTTGAAAGAATATATCTCTTTCTCTGAGAAATATATGTTCCAGACCAACCGTATCATTCATTAATAGCGATTTCTGACGTCATTTAGAGACAAAAATCTTTATACTAAAATGTCAAAGCTATAAAAATTTTTAAATGCGTAGTGTTCAAAGTTGATTGTCGACTTGACACTTTGCATTAAAAAATTTCTGTAGTCTTGATATTTTTGATATAAAGATTTTCGTTTCCAAATGACGACTTCAGAAATCTGTTATTAACAAGTGATATGATCGATATGGAATACCCTGTATATATATGTATACATTTATGTGTCACTCAGACTATTTGTTTCATTGGCACTACAGTTTAATCTCTTATGATCTAAAATAAATTTTTATTTTCACCATTTATATAACGTGCAGTGAAAATATGTACGTAGCCTAAATTCTTATATCTCAAATAAATCGTTGCACATATGTACGTTATACATGTATGTCGTAGCTACATTAACACTTTGCACTTTCGGCGATCACAGTTTATTTTTGATTGGAAATAACGACTAAGTTTTCAAGTGATTGCACATTTTCGTTATCTCTACAAACAGATAAATCAGAAATATATGTGACCAGATATACAAGATGTCTAGTGAAGATGCATTTTTGTTTGATTTCGTATTATTGCACAATGCAATTAAATTGTTATGTAACATGTATGCATTTTTCACAGATGCCTTGTACACGAAATTAAAATGCTTACAATTTATTACTTCCAGTATATAACTATAATAAACTTACTGCTACATTTAACAGCAATAATGCATTAAAATGCATTTAGATACAAACTCAATTATTCATTATTCAATGCTGTTTTTTCTTGTTAATCAAACTCGTTTAATTACAAAATAATGGCAGTGAATCTCAGTCTATTAATGTCAGTGTTAAAATCTGTTTCATATTGCGAATAACAAAGTTAGCAAACTCAAGAAAATATGCAACTAATTTTGATTGCAAAATTAAGCTTTTAATTTCTATAAATAATTTCTTTTCTATTATTACGTAATAGAAAATTATTTTTTTCTATTCTACGTAAATAACATACGAAAATGTATGTAATATATATAATTATATATAAGATTAAAAAAAAAAATATTTATAAGATTTTTAAAAACAAATAATTGCGACAGATAATTAAAAAAAAATCAAACAAGATTTAATAACAAATGGTAAAATTTAAACACTCTTGCTTTTAAAACTCATAAAAAATCATTTAAGCATTTAACAATACCAATAATTTTACGTAAAAAGCGAGTCTCACGTTTATTTATTTAATAAATAATTTGTTAATTATATTAAATATAATATTTGCACTCGCGCAATAGCAACTTTAGGATAAATAACGCGTGCAAAATTAAAATATCTCTTTATTATTAATCTTTACGATAACTTTGTTATCACTGTATAAAAAAATAGCAAATCAAATTCAGATATCATCTTAATAAAATTTCTTTGTAGTTATTTCTTACACTTGACAGTAGAAATAGTGATATTAATATTTCATGCGGCTTATCTTGATTCCTATGATAATTACGTTATTCTTTGGAAGACTTCGTAACTATATGTTAGAATTGTTTAACTAGGCGCTTTAAGATGATTGCTTCGCAAAAAGAAAACAAAGTGTTGTAGCATCTTTCTCCGAAAAACTCGAAGAAAATAGCAAAATTAAAAATAGCGTTAAGTTCAGAAAATTTATCTAAATTTTCCATCTAAGATATAATCAACAAGAATACATAGATAAAGAAAAAAAATTATCGATATAAACTACAATATATCATATTATAATAAGAAATAAATTAGTCTAGAAATTAAAAAAAAAAAAACTCGATCTATAGGACCTATAATTTAGACCTATAAGATTTCTTAATATTTTTGCATCTTTCTTCACAAATCACAAATGAACCGAATCTTTCTAATCGCATTACAATTTTAAATGGTAAAATACGCGTAATCTTCGGCTGTTTCGCTTTCGGAAGTTCACGAAAATTTTTGGAATACGTTCTCCACGCGCGACATTCAATGGCACTGAATAATCTCAAGATTTCTGATGAGTTCTCATGTGCAGCACTAGATTATGCTTGTGCTTCGACTTCTTGTGGCAGATCGGGCACTCGAACTGCGGCTCCACGCCGCATTCGAATTTCATATGCCTGTTGAGCGAGTGCGGTCTGGTGTAGGCGTTGCCGCAACGCGGACAAGAATATTCGCGGCTGCCCGCGGTTACCTGATTACTGTTGACTTCCGTTAACGGTTGACTGTTTTGGATCTTTTCCGTCGCGACATGATTGTCGGGACAAGCGTTCGCGGGTTCCTCGACTGCCTCTGTCGTCGGTCCTTTTGCCAGTTGATTCTCCGCCATCAGCCGGAGAAACATCGTCTGATATTGGTAATACCATTCGATCGCGGCACCTGGCGAGTACTTCCGTTCTAGAAAACACATAAGAGAGTCAGTAGAGCTTTGCCAGGATCGTCAGGCCCCTTCGCCGTAGAAACTGGCGGTCGCGGTTAGCCTAGAAGGGATTATTATCGATTATGACAAAGACACAGACATACACAACATGAGTTGAGCTACACGTAGCCATTCACCATAAAAGCGACTGTCAACAAGGCATTCTTGATGTTTAGGACTTTTCCGAAATATCGCAGACATTTTTTCATTTATTTTTTTGGAATAAAAAGAAGGAAATTGTTTTTTTTTTTTTTCGTTCATGGGTCAATCAATGTGATTTGGATGTATTTAATATATCGTGAACAGAGTTATATTTCATGTTGAGAACACTTTTCAAATTAAAATTGGTCATTTGTTGCCCTATCGTTTACAGATACGAAAATATTAATGGAATACTGTAGATTTGAATATATTATTGTAGTTGATTGACAGAATCGAATGGTAAAATATATAATTATGATGTAATCAATCTTCTGATAGGATATTTATTGCAACCTGATGTTTAATCACTTTTGTACAAAGTTGATTATTGGTTTTGTGATAAACAATCCTTTCCTTTACTATTTAAAAAACAATGTTCAGTGTTAAACTATGTGGCATTTGTGCGTAAAATTATATCTGGACACGTTATTTCAAATAGATAAATAATAAACAACAATTAACCAATTATTTTTATCTAAATTAAACTACAATAATAATATTATATTTCTATACATTTTCAAATTAAATTATGTAGATTATTCTTACATATGTTCGACACTGTATGAAATTATTCCTGACACAGTTTAACATATATGATATAAAAAGATAAACTGCAGTTCAATTGTGCAATCAAATGCAAATAAAAGTGCTCATTGAATGCGAGGAGTAAACGAACGATATCGATTAAAGTTGAAACATTTTCGTAACGCCGATTGTGAATCATTTACTGCATTGATGGTGACAGACGATCTTTTTCCTTGTTTCCATATTTTCAATAGCTCGGTGTCTTCTCATATTGCTGTTCTGTTTGTAGTTTTGCTTGCATTCATAATGGTATCTTTTCCCTTCAGATGACGAACTTTTGCTGTTAGCTCGAACGTCCTCATGTTTTTACGAATCCGTACCTGAAAATAGGATGACTGGTGATGAATGCGTTAAGTGAAGCAAATTTCAAATTTTACGAAAATAAAAAATTTAGCCAAATTTCGATATTATAATAAAGTTTGAAAAATATAACAAAATTTTGATTTGATCAATTATTTTGGTAGGAAATTTTTTACGATGAGTTAAAAATGTTTCTTTGAAAAATCACATTTAGCGTATATATATATATATATATATATTTTTTGTTATTTTTAAGTTTAGTTTAAAATAATTCGAATGACTTTTTAATATATAATAGCTAACATATAATAATAGTTTTAATTTATCGTGAAAATATATAACGGATAATTTTTATAGTTTTTGGAAATTGGAAGAAATTTTTTCACTTAGTATTAATAATTGTATACTGAATTGTATTGCACTGAAATATTTGTGACCAAATTTCTATTAATATAAACAAATGAAATTGATGATATTTCAATAGCGTACAAATTGAGTCGTAAATAGTGTTATTATTATAATAGTGTCAGTTCAATCGGTTTTAATGCAAATGTTCAAGTTATAATAACGAAGTTACAAGTCGAAGTTAAATTCAGGTCGCACTCTTTTAATTGGCAAGCTAGTTCCCATAAATCACAAATCATCACAGCATGGTGTACCGATGATGCCCGGCGATGTGGTTCCGCAATTCATATCGATACTTGAACTTTCGGTCGCACATGTGACAGGAAAACTTCTTCTCTTTGTTGCCGCAATCTACCCTCTGATGTCTCCTTAAACTGTCCAACCATTTGTACTTCTTGCCGCAATCGGTGCAAATATACTCGGTTTGCAACATGTAAGAGTCGCCGCCGTACACTTGTGAATAGTCATTCATCTTGGACGACGCGTACGATTTGCTCGGAAGAATTTCCTGAGTCTCTTGGCCGATGCTACGCGCCTTCCTCTCCAGCACCCACAGAGCGTCGTATTCCTCTGGCTGGTCTTTCACTGCGACAGAAAAAGCAGAGCGCCGAAGATTAGGCGACGTCGCTTCAAAGCGGCGTCATTTTAAGGCTTGATCGCTTAAAGTATCGTATTGAAAATTATGAAAAAGATCGCGTCGCATCGCGGCCATCTGCGATTAGAGGTTGAAATGTTGAAAAGAATATAATATAAACATGCAGCGGTATCAGGAGGCTCGCGGCTGATAAGAATACTTCCGGTACATGTTGCTCTGGTGATTGGTTTTGTAATGTGGTATTCTAAATTACGGAGCAAATTGTTAGTTCTCTACTCGTGCACAACAAAAAGAACCTTTTTTACGATAAATTTGACGAAAGAAGTTAAGTGAACAGGATCTTCGATGTTATTCGATCTTATCGATAGCCTATTTTGTCATTTTATAATAAAACAAACTACTACACATACACTACGTCACAATCATTTCACGCTCGAAAGTGAAACGCATAAGAACTAAGCGACATCATATTTTATTTCACATTTAGATTATTTATTTATTACAGTTATTATTGTCGCGATAATTCCAAAAAAGTCTAAATTCTATGTTTTTTATTTTTTGCATTTTTTACATATTCGTACATATCCGCGACTTTTAAATGTTCGATTGAATACGCATATGCACATCACACACACATATGTATATGTGTCTATAACTTACATTTTAATCTTAGATTGCGCCTAAGCTTACAGTGCGTATTGTGTCGCTGTTTAGAGAAAAGATCTTTATTTGTTGACGATGCAAAACATATATTAAATCGGTGGAATTTCTATTACTTGCGCAGTGATTGCCAAACTCGCGCGAAATTTATGTGAACGTTTTTCTACTTTACAAATTTTGAAAGCGAGCGCGAACAATTACAGACGTATATTTACACATACAATTCTTTTAAATATCCTATATTTCATAAATATCTATTACTCGATAGACTTTATGTAACAAAATGAAGCTAACTTCATTATCAATTCTACTGTTATACTGAATACACAGTAAAAACGCATAACAATTAAATTTTTATTTTAGTAAAATCGTTAATGAAGATGTCAATATCGCGCGATAATCTGATTGTGGGAGAATTAATCATTGATCTGATAGTAAATACAACGACGTTCCTTCAAAGACGCATTTGAAGAAACGAAATACATAGCCGACATTTTTATCGAGACGGATCAGTTCTGTTCGCAAGATCGTTTTATCGCATCACCACTGACACTTTCTCCCTCTTTCTCGACTGTCCGAGATCGATCGGTATCGATAGAGTCTCTTCTTACAAATTCGTTTTTTCCGCTTTCAAGGAATGGCCACTCTCTTTGTCACCGCACACTAGTCGTTGATGCCGGCGCAGAGTATCGAGCCTTCGGTACGATTTGCCGCATTGATTACAATAGTATTCTTGTTGTTGAAGCCTTTCCAAGGCCTCCTGCTGATCCTGGAAGGACGCCAGATACTCGTCGCACTTCTGCTGATGACGCTTCAAGCTGTCGAGCCGAGTGTACGCTCTGCCGCAGCCGTCGCAACGGAACTGCTGACATTTGGCGTTCTTCTGGACCACGCTGGCCTCCACGCTGTTCAAGATCGGCGAGTCGCAGAGTAGGTAGTTGAGCTGACCGTGAAATGGCACCTCGCAGACTTCCGGTTTGTCGTCGTTGCTCTTCTCCGCGGCGCACTGCCCGTTCTCGTCTGGAAAGACACGTTAGTCCGTTAAAAAGCGGGGACACGCGAGGCTGTGCAAGACGATTGGCAAGCGAGCAGCGCACAGCAACATGCATAATATCATAAATTACCTTGTGTTTGCGGTTTCGGTAATTGTAGGGTAAAAAATCGCAGAGGAGCTAAAGTTCTCTCGGAAACTTCGATTGTTAGTCACGAAGGAGTGTGTGTTTCTTAGAAGCTTAAAAAGTTTTTCTTCTTTTTTTATTAAAAAGCTAAAGAAAAGATGATAAAAAAATTCGTGCAACATGTTTTTCTTCTTACAATTAGGTTTAAAAATTCAGCAAGAAATTTACCTTTTCAATATTTACAAATATTTATTAATTAGAACAATAGTGATATACATATTATTGGCATATCATGTTATGTTATATATTGATACGCACAATAATTCAAATTAAAATTGTAGACTAATTTATTGTTATGAATGTACATCTTCAATATCGACTAAGGAAAAAGCTCTATATTCGCGAAGACTTGTTGATCAGCAAAACTGTTACAAATATGGAAATCGCGAATAAAAAAAAATTAAGATTAATAAGGAAAACATATTTTTAAAATTTATGTTTTTACTTCTTTGCTTCAAAATAAATAAAAGAATAAATTATTAAAGCAAAAAATATTCAAATACTTGCTTTACTAGAGTTATTTTATCATTTTTTACAAACTTTTTGTAAATAAAATTTACAAAAAGTTTGTAATACTTTTGTAAATAAATAAAATAATTTTAGACCTATAAAAATAAAAAAGATTACACATACTGAATCGTATATATAGTGATAGGATTCAAACCGTCTCAAGGCATCTTGAGTTAAAGGCTGAAAATCAAAAGTCTCAATACATTTTATAAGACTGTTATAAAGATCTTTCAAAGCTTTCATTTAAAACAGTCTTGCAAGATGTTTTAATTGAGATTTTTGATTTTCAGTCATTCTTGGTTTGCTTAAAAATTTGTAAGTAAGAGTTTTGAAATCCCATCACTACATGCATTGGTATACATGATTATAGAACGCGTGCGAATATGGAGCTGTATATAAAATCAAATTAACATAATATGAATTAGTAAATGTTATTACACTAATCTTCTGTTCTTCCTATCGCGTTGTAAATCAAAGTCACATGAGAATTTCACTCTAATTAATTCTATAAAGTATCACGAACAGGTTCTTTTTGGAGATTCTTTTCCATGTTTTGGTTTCCCAAGGGTTTGCTTTATAAAGAATCGATTAACATACCAATTTTCATTTAAGCACAGTATTCAGTAAAAAAAAAAGATACTCTCCCTGAGGAACTCTCGCGCGCCTTCGCGAGAAATCCCAAGAACGAGGTCACCGTAGAATAACATTTAAATATTGCGCTTTCTTTCTTTTGACTTAAGAAGGATGAGCGCTCTTTATATGATTATGCAGGGACAGTAGCTTTTCGAATGTATTGCCGCAATGGGGACAGCATCTCCGCTTGTTCTTGCAGTACAGCTTCTCGTGTCTCTTGAGACTGTCGAGTCTCGAGAAATTCTTCCCGCATTCGTCGCAAACAAGCGTGGTGATCTTATACTTTTTCTCGCGATGTTCCAATGACTCCTGAGACAGCTCGTTGTAATCGGTGGTCACGAATTCGAAGCAGCTCTGCGAAATGTTCTCGTTTAGCTCCTGAGTGACGAGCGGATCGGTTAACCAATCGCACAACTCCGTGTGATCTAATAAAAAAAAAACGGAAACCGATTGTTAGGTGTACATTTCGACCATTGAGATTCGCAAAGCTGTAGGACAGATAGAAACCATATAAAAGAAATCCTGTAAGCGCATGCATTTTGAGAAAATAATCGCGTGACAGTACGCTATCAACGAATCGGGAAGGTTCGACAGTTTCCACAATTGGTGATACATGAGAGTTTCGAAAAAGAGTTAATAATGAATGTAACACTAGGTAGAATACTTAAGAATGACGAACTAGAAAGGAATTTCGTAGATGCCCACGGCTTTTTAATCAAATTTTCTGGGGAATGTGAAAAAGGCGACACTATAAATTTCCGCTTCACAAATGTTCAGTATTTAGAAATTTGGTAATTTTCGACATTATGCAATGATATTAGCGTTATAATAAATATAGCAGTATAATATAATAATATAAAAGGAAGAATTGTAAAAGTAAACAATATATAAATGGATAGGATTTTTTAAAGAACAAATTTTCTGTACGTTGCGCTATTCGCAGATTGCTTTATTTCAATGTAATACATACAATAAGATTATGAATTTTAGCACATTATTATGATACGTTTCTATGATACGTTTTGTAAGGATAATCGCAAAGATACAACAAATTGCGAAATAGATATTGAAAAAAAAAAAAATGAAAAGAATAAAAAAAATGGAAAAAAAAATTTTATATATACCTTAATTTAATTTAACATTATCATTATTTTTGTGCAAAATGACATGATTTTGCATATTTATTAATCATGTAATATTTCGTCTTTACTATTTGTGTAAATTTACTAACAGTAAGCCTTTTTATAATGTATATCAGAAATTACTTGTGCATACATCAGCAGTAAATCGCGACAGAATTGTACGCTTAATGCTTGTGTTTCATGTGTTTCGTATATTCGTATCGACGATAGAACATTTTCAAACATATTTTGCAATGCCACTTAGGCAGTTTGCCGCATTCCAGCCGCTGGTGTCGGCGCAGATTGTCCATCCATTTGTAGGCCTTGCCGCACTCGCCGCACATGTAACGCTGCAGTTCTTGCGGTACCTGGCTGCGACTCGGGAACCGTCGGGAAGAGTTCACGACGTTCATATCGTTGACCTTAAACTCCAGTCCGCCAAGCTCGTTCATGAACGCGTTGTCTGGAATGAGAAAAAAATTTTGTTATTTTCGCGAAACGAGATGACGGCAATAATGATCAATCTAAATCAATAACGAAAACGTATTGTGTTTGTTGAGTGTTATGAAGTAAAATCTCGTAATAACCTATTTTAACAGAAATGAATTACTAAATTATATCTCTACAATTCTTAAATTTTTAATTACGTTTCTATGAATAACGAAATTCAGATTCTGGTTTATACAAAATATTATATCTAATTTAATCACAGAGATGAATTATAATACACATGGAGTAATACATTTTTTTTGTACATATGCGTTACAAAGATAGATGATAAAAGATATTAAAGGAATACATGCAATACAATAAAATTTTATATCGTATGATTACATAGTTACATAGAAACTGGACAAAAATTAGTTCTTTATTAAAATTATAAATCAACTTAAAAAGAAATACAATTTTCGGTTTTATTCGACAAAATGTGTGTCGAAGTAGTATAAACAAATATAGCATCATAAATTTCATAATTTATTTTCATATTAATACTTCAATTTTAAATTACAGTTCGAAGTGCAGGTACACATTAGAAATAATCCTTTTTCGAAGTTCTCAAAAAGATTATATACATTCTAGTCTATAAATGGATGTAAATAATATATTTAAATGCATTTTAATGGATTTTTCCAATGATAGCTATTATTACTGCTGATATATGTGTATAAGATCATATGTGTATCATATGTGTATAAGATTATATTTCACCTGAAGTTTTTCGAGCAAAACTCGCATTTAAACTCCACATGTAATTATTGTGTTTCTCGACGAGTATTTATCGCCGCATAAGTTTCATGTAAAGAACTAACTTTTCGGATCGTTTACTTCCAAAATCAATGCATTTGTCAGCGTGTAGTTTTGGGAAAAATCATGTTTCATGCGTTGCTCGTATAAAATTCTGTCAATATAAAACGGATTATACATTTTATACATCGGCGGATCATATCCGTAAAATTGCTGATCGCAAATCCATACTTTTACATGAAAGAAACAAAAATTTAATAGCAGAAATTAGGTAAAAAAATTTAAATTTAGATAAAAAAATTATGTTGCATCGTTACCTAATAAATTAGATTATCTAATTATTAGGTTACAGGGATATTTCAATGGGGAATTGGGACTTTATTTTATAATAAAAGATCGAAATGGCACAAAGCAAGTAATGCAATTTTTGAGATGCAAGGTTAACATTTAGATAGCTTAAAATAATATTTACACATGGTTCTTATTCGCTATAATTAACAAATTTTCTCATTCACTTTAATTAACAAATACGAAATCATTGTTCGTGTAATGTAAAGAGTGGATTATAATGGATCAAGATAGAACATAACGAACTTATGTTTTAACAATTTTGTATTCTCAGTATGTATGATACATGCGTATATTACGTATCAGCATTGAGTTATTACAGAATTTTTATCACGTATATATAATAAAAAATAGGAAGTACATCTGCAATAATTATTCATCGCTACGTGTGATATAAAGCAATATTAAACAATATAACCTGTGCAAAAATAACAATGTTTTATTTGATTGAAAGAATTGTTCGCTGTAACATTCTATATTTTTATCATTAAATTGCACAAATAATAAAAAATTAAATACATAGTGGCTGCGACGTGTTGATTGAGTAAGCATATATCGATCGCACAAAAGCGTCTATAAAATTAAATAATATATTTTTTCATATAACGTTACATAACACTGTTTGCAAAAAAATCATTTGTTTATCCTTCAAAAATGTATACCTATATATAAAGTTATATATTTTAAATGTCAACAGGGAATTTTAACGTAACACAAAATTAATAATTCATGATAATGCAGTACAAGCAAAAAAAAGATTGTCAAAAATAAAAATGTCGAAGTTTTGTTTGCAAATATGTAGAGAGCTTTTTTGAATATTTTTGTTCGATTCGGTTTTCGTAATCTAAACTTATGGATTTCTGTTATTTTATCATCTAAAGTTAAAATCATCGATTAATATTTGACTAACTTGTCGTTAGTGAACAAGCAAGTAGCTATTTTGCACGAGAAAAAAAATTTACAAATGCCTGAAAGGATCATTATGTCAATTCAAAACAATTCAAACAGTTTCATACTTTTTAAATATAAATTCTACATTTATCGATCACGATCATTATCGATCGCTGTCATTCTTCCTTGTTGATGATTAGTGTGGCCGTTAATCGGGGACTTTTTTGTGATTTACACCCGTCTGAGACATTCTTCTCTCGCAGGCGACGATGTGAGCGTTCAAGACGAATCTGTGCTTGAATCTGCGGCCGCAGATAGGGCATATTTCGCAGGGTATGACGCCGCACTCGAGCCGCTTGTGCCGGCTTAACGACGTCGCGGCTTTATATGTTTTTCCACATCTGGTGCACTCGTACTTGGCGTCGCTTGAATCCTTCTTTCGGGCATTCCTAAGCATCTTATAGGTCGACTGGTCAAACGGTCGCTGTTGACTCCAGGATAATTCGTTGTTTTCCTGCGTTAGTAGCATCGATGCCAGTATGCCTGAAACGAGAGAGATTATAGTTAGATGGTGTAGCTTCGATTTGACGAACGCTACGTCGGCATCGCAATGCTCATCGAACCGAAAATAGGCATTCAACTAAATAATTCTAATTGGAAAGGTGCAAATAGTTGAAACGGGTTGAGTTGAAATGGTTGACTTTGCCTTTTTCATCTTTAATGGATTTTCAGTGATATATGAGAAAGTCTATTAAAGATATAAGAGCTGATTTCGAACACATATATCTCACAATCAGTCATTAATTGTTCTCTTGTTTAATCAAGAATAATTTTAACAATATTCAGAAAGTAACCCGATTATGAGAGTTTGGTAATTATATTTATTTCGTTATTGAAAAAAATATATTTAATTTTGCCATCAAAAAATAGATTTATAAAATGTACAAAATTATAAAATATTTTCAAAAAAATTGATACTAATTAATTATGAATGTTTAATGAAATATATCGGCTTTTTATCACATTATCGATTATTTTCGGCGTTTGGCAAGCATTGTAGCATTTCAGTTCGTGCAGTTGAATGTTTCAGTTCTCAGGAGATCAAATAAATATTGATCGAAAGTTGCGGGAGCATAGCTCAAATTTAATGTTTGCAAGCTGAAAAGAAACATCGTTAATAAAAGTGCAATAATACAGAAGAGATAGTAATTTTTGAAAGTGAAAAAGAAAATGAGAAAAAAGATAGCAGGACATGCTACTGCGGAGGTCTGTGTAAAGTAAATATTAGAATTTGTTAAAATTTTTAAAAATTATATACTATTTCGATAAGTAGATTTCACGAATAAAAATAATCAATTGAATTAAACGTAATTAATATTTTTATTGTAAAATTATCGGTATATAGATTTTTGGGTAATTGATTAATAAGAATATACATATGTTTGATATTGTAAATTCTATTTTTATTCTTGTGTGCAAGAAATGATAATGTTAGTATTTCTTCTGTCTATTATTTATCACATTGTATAAAAATAGGTTCATGTGTCACTTATACGTTCACGTAAAAGTATATTATACATAAATCAATATTCAAAAAAATTTTTATATTGTGGGCTCTTCTATTATTCAATGTATTATTAATACAACAAGCTATGAGAGCTGGGTTTTAATGCTTTTCTTAATCTATTAACATATTACATACGCTTTGGCCATCTTCAGTGTACAAATATCTAATTTGACGCATATAATAATATAATATATTTTTAAATTCCGCACGCAACTCAGAAACAATGTGATATGCTCAAAATAAATTTTTTTTATGTTATGATTTTTTAAATATTATACATAATTAAATTACAAATCTTATCGTAAGAGAATAGCGCTTAATTAAATAACGCTTAATTATTTAATTTTCTCTAGATCAGTCTTAAGGCTAATAAACCTTTTAATATACCTATTTATGAGTCTTTTAAAAGTAGAACAAAACACGAAATTAAGAAAATGCAGAACATTATATTAGCCTATCAGAAACACAATATATTCATTTATCACGTTAATTACAGTGACAGCAAAGTATAAATATCGAAGTTCTGATAGTATCATTTAAAAAATTTCAAATTACAGTAAAACAATTAAATAATAATTTTACTTTTGGCTCTTCTATTATTCAATAGTTTGTTTGATAAGTAAAGTTTGAAAAGTAACATAGCTAGAATGCTCAGAATTTCTTTAATATATAAACATTAATTATATTTCATACGTTTCGGCCATTTTTTTAGCCATTCTTCAGTGTATTACTTAATAAATTCTTACAATATTCCCTAATTTAGCGCATCTATATTACTAAAAGAAACGCACGTAAATTTCATACAATTCATACATTTCTATTATAATTCCTATATAATCCAATAACATGTTCTGTGTTTTCTTGATGTGTACCAGTTATATGTCCAAATACAACAAATTATTCCAAATAAAATTCAATCTTTTTTGCAACAACTTAAAGTCGATCAGCAATACTAGTCAATATTTTAAGAAAAAGTCCCAGTCGCTTTAAGCGTCGATCTTGTGAATCGACGAACAATCTTTTATTTTTACAGTAAAACATATTTTTAAAACAAATTTTTGTTCCTAGTTATTATTACATAATTTAACGATTTAAAAGTAATATGCTATTTCATAAGTCCATTAGACTGCAAAATCTTAATACTGATTAGGGCTGATAATAAGCTCGATTATTATATAACTTTGAAAAGAAAAATAAATAGCTAATTTAGAATTAATTAACATAAGTTGCCAATACAGTTTTGTTTACTTGTAAATAATAGTATCTTTCATATACATCAAAACGAGAGAGGCTATTCACTCTTCATGAATTAATCTTCGTTGACTTGAGATTCAATTTATTTAGATCTTCCTTTTAATGTTCTTTTTTTTCTTGCAAGAGATTCGAGATGATGAGTTAGCATAAATTTACGTGTGAATTTTTTGCCGCACATCTGGTATTTTTGTATTTGGGCTCGACGGCGTATTCTGATCTTTGATGCCTTTGCAGGGATGTTTTCAATCTAGTGATGGTTCCAGGGATATTTCCAATCAGTTCGCATCATCTTAGGTGCTGGTAAATAATTGACTTTTTCACGTTCAATGCGATTTCTTTTTTACGTTCAATGCCTTTTGCGCTCTCTACAATCTTCAGTCTTGGAACTGAAAAGCAAAAGAGAAAAACATAATTAGATTAAATTATCGAGGTATAAAATGAAGAAAAAATCATAAAAAAATAATTGACCATCATTTTTTTAAAAGATATCACATAAGTGAAAAAATTTTAATTTTTCTCTACCATGACAGCTTTATTAAAATATTTCTTTACATTATATGAAATGAGCGACGGCTGCTTATTATTATTTAGTTTACTTAAAAATATATAATATCATTAATAAAGGCAATTCATGTACGAAAATATTACAATTGCAATGAAATATAACTTATTCAATTTTGCACGAATATTAGTTAGCAAGAAAGTAATTATAATGGAATATGTAATCATGGACTATGTATAGCCCTGTTATTTCGTAGTATGATAGGTAATTATAAATCACATTGCTATGAAAAGAGGGGCATAAAACAGATTAAATTCAGAAAGCAAAAGTAAAAGAGACGTATGTTTAATTTGAAATAAAAATATTCTTGTTAATGTTATATGAGTTGAATTTAGTTATTATTTAGTTATGAAGTTGCGATTATCGGAAGTAAATGAACATTGTAAATAGATAGAATAGAATAAAAAGACGTGTTCTCTCTCTCCGTTGCGATCAATTGCTAAACAGATACGTCATTTTTATGATATACAAATTAACAAGAGGAGATGTGGACGAAAACATACAAGATATCTTTTGGAATATTTTATTTACATTTGTTTAATGTCGTTTAAGTTTTTATTTTATATAATTTTAGTTGTATGAACAGTCTCAGAAAGCAAATATAAATATTAAGAATAACTATATATTTGATAAAATTTTACGATGACACTTTTGCATATTTTAAGACTAATATTTATATTTATATTATAAGGGAACTTCTACCACCATCTAAATTAATAACAGTGGAAGATTAATAGGAAGATTGGCGCGAAGATTAGTTGCGTAGAATCGTAAAGAAAAAATGTTTTAAATTACAACGTTACAAAATAAATGGAATATAATTTATAAATCAAATATTAAATATTAAATATTAAATTTAATTAAATATTAAAAATTTATATATAATATACTATTATGTTAAACATTTATCAAAAATAATCGGAAAATAAACATAGTGTTTTTGAAAGTTCAGGAACATCGCCCTTTCGCACATATCTATATCGTTCCGTGATTCGTCATCTTCATTAACTCATATGTTAATGAAGTGAATCAATCTGGCGTGCGACTGCCACCGGTGCTTGTGCTTAAATTTCCTTCCGCAGATCGGGCATTCGTAACTGGGATCCTTCCCGCACTCGACTCGCAGATGTTTCATTAGCGAGTCCCGCCACATGTACCGCTTGCCGCATTGATAACAGGACCAGGACTTCAGGGTGGAAACTGAAAAGAAAGATCAGTGATAATTAAACCGTTCGTTCGACTCGTATTTCTCTGTCGTAACATCAAAAGCGCGCGTCATAAAAAATAATTACTTCGATTTTAGAGCGTCTCGGTATTCAAGAAGCTAATCTTAGATCATTGCGATAAATAATCAACGCTTTTACACAGCGCTTTTTCGGATGGATGTCATCGAGAGAGAATTGAATCTTTATTGTTTGATACGTGATACATGTATTCAATACTTTGCTTATGTACTGATCACCTCTCTTCGATATTATTACATATGACGGAAGATTACTCGTGTGGGAAGAAGAAAATTTTCACATGAGATTGTGCAGCATTGCCGCATGTCAGAAATCAATTGAGAAAAATTCTTTAAAGAAATAAAAAAACAAGAAAAGACAAAACAAGACAGAGGGTTGGCAACATAACACTATTCATATTTAATAACAAAAGATATTTTTCTTTAATATGCGATAATTGTAATATAATAATCAGTAAATATTGCTCAACTGTACGAGCTATTGTGAATGCTACGATCGAAACATCCTTCAATTTTCGATGGTAAATCATTCGACCACAAACCGCACCACGGATCCATTTAGATCTTTGATAGAATTTTATATTTACGCTTTAAAGACTCTTATCTTGGGGAGTAAAGAAGGACTAAGATGGTGTTTTATTTCGATTTAAGTAAAATCGTAATTGTAATATAAATAGTAAATGGGTCAAGAAATAAATTAGAAAATAATTTCGACTGCATAAAAATCCGCATCTTAACTCTTTTTTATAAAAAAAGGCTTCAAATCGTTTGACAAATTAATGTAATTCATTCAAATTGATAAAAATCATTTATTATCTTTTTGTTACAATATTTCCTTTGCAGTTAATGCATAGTTTAAATTTAATAGAAAAAAATAATTTGTATCAATAAGAACAAAAAATATAACATATTTAAGATAATATTGCTGCAATAACAAACGATGTGCATTCGTTTGAGAGAAAATAGCAAGAAACGAAAAAAGAAATGTACTTCACTAACGAATCGAATAATGACGATTGAAACAATATCTTTATTCAGAACTTGAAAAATTATGTGGAAGATTAACAAATTATGCACAAGTTGAAAATTAAAGAAATTTTATAGAATGATTCTATAAATCCAAATACTGATCTACACGCCTAAGTCTAAATCTAGTATTAATTGAACTATAAAATTGATTGCAAAACTGGCTAATCTCGCTATTAGAAAATAGATTTACTTAAAGCTGTCTTTTCCTTAATTACTAAGTACAATACAAACGTGCTTAACGAAGTTTGTTGATGTGCCTTCGCATATTTCGGTCACTGAAAAATATTGCACGGCATTTTTTTCGTCAAAGTTTCTCATTAGGTAATAAAAGTCCTTGCGAGATGTCCCTCGCGTTACAATTTAATGCTATGCATGCACTTTGCGTGCGACTGCCAGCGATGTTTGTGCTTGAACTTCCTGCCGCAGACGGGACACTTGAAGGCCGGCTCCTTGCCGCATTCCACCCGTATGTGGTTCTTCAGGGAGCCGCGCCACAGGTAACGCTTACCGCATTGAAAGCAGACCCATTTCCGCAGGTTTCCGCAGACTGAAAAAGACAAAAGGTTTTCGTAATATTTAGTATCGGAAAGCAAGTGCTGTGTCTCTTTTACGCTACCAAACCACCCTCCCCCTCTCTTTTTCTCTCTCTAAATGCCGTGCTCGGTCTAACAACGTTAGTGGAGCACGGCAATCGTACGTTATTATCATAATCGCATCTATTGTGCTCAATCTATCTTCTGAAGATAAAAGCGTTTTATAAGCAGAGAAAATGGCGTGTGTTATGTACGTTCGTCTCTTAATCGATTTTTTTTTGTCGCAGCAATTCGTATTCGATCCACTTGATGTGCCGATGCATCGATAGCTCCAAAGTTCACTAAAGCACTATAAAAGAAGAGAGGTATTACTGTAAAATATATTCTTGGTATGTGCAAGTGGAGAAAAAAATAGCATGGTGATTTCTCAGGTTTTGTGTTAGAAGTACATACATATGTTTTTTTGAAGCTATATGTATTTATTAAATTGTCTTAAGGGAATTGAGAGCGATGATTGTTGGGTTTCATTTATTTCACAATAATACGACTTGTATTTAAGAATTCGCGATGAGTGTAATGGGATTCAGCAGGAGACAACTTTTGTTGGAAAATAAAACTGGATCTTTATTCATATCGATAGCTTCTCGTACGATGTAATATATATTCATGCAGACAGCTGTACACACACATTTACAATACAGTAGAAATCTCGAGCACATTTTCGATATTCTTGAATCAATTGTCGCTGTTGCGATTTTTCGTTATCGGGACGTATATAGATTCTTCAGTCTATATTTGTACTTCTTGCCACAAAGAATACGGCTGAACTTTAGCTTTTTGTCGCATCATTGCAGATGGTTGTAACATCGACGATTTTTCGGCGCAGCTCTTGCGGCACATTTTGCACGAAAATGTTCTTTGACCTGGCATACCTGAAAGACAGATTACGAATCATGCATGCATGCATGCTGGAGTGCATTATACAGTGAAGTCTCGCGATCTTATTTTTTTCATATCCCTGCGCGGCAAACAGACAATGCACACATTTCACGAATTTGACAGTATTAGAATCTTGTAACTTGATATTCTTTCTAAACGAACCAAATCGTTCGACAAAAGTTATGCGATTCACACGATAATTCTGTCGTAACTGAGAATCGCGAAAATTACGAACATATTTACAAATGATTTACGGTTAAAATTGATCTTCGCGTATTTGAATTTATTATTTTAACAAAAAAAGGGATAAATGAAAAAATATGCTTGCTGGTTTCATTGCTCTTTTAATTACGAAAAATTTCCAATATTTAATTATTAATAATATATTAATTTGAAAACATTCGCGCTGTTCTGCGTTTAGAAGTATATACAACTTATCGCATATTTTGTACACTCGTTATTAAATTCGTCACAAGAGAAAAACAGATTATGAATGCGCATGTGAAGTATGTATTTCGGCGCACAATCCGTACAATTTCATTTATTATTATAGCAAGATAAATCCGAAACTAAACTTTAAATCCTTTATACATTCAGTCTGTTAAAAGTAATTGTACATATTTTACATATAACTACCTTTTTCAATTTTTAATTAGAAAAAAATTTGAAAATTAACTTTGATTTAGCCCATTCATTATTTAGAGATTCAAAGAATTTCATTCTTTCTCAAGAGAGCGAGGGGATCAAATTATATCACTTCACCGTTAATAGTGTCTTTCAGGTTTCTGAATTCGTAATGAATGATTTAGGCTTAGTTTTGGCATTTTGTTTCTATCAATATATGAAATTAATCTTTAAATATAAAAAGAAGTGTCGGATTGTTGCTTTACTTCTCGTTCGACATATTTGTGAATTGATTTCAGATGTTTTAAGAGGTGGTGCTTGTGTTTGAACTTTCTGCTGCAGATGCTGCAGGCGAAGCGTGGTTCGATACCGCACTCCATTCGTTTGTGCAGACTCAACGATTCTTTCCATTTATACGTCTTGCCGCACGTGTCACACTGGTAGGGTATCGAGCGCATAAAGCACATCTGTAGGCCTGAAACATATACGCAACAATCTAATGTCTGTTTCGTTGATGTCGGACAAACATTTAATTTCATTGTCGACGAGTTGTGCATGCTAAAAAATCAAACGTCCAAAAAAAACAAACAAATGAAATACACATCTATTACTAGTTTTTCCGGCCTGGCAAAGTTTCCAGCTTCGATCTTTCCCCCAAAATTATCGGCGATATGTCTACAGATTAAATATGGGAACAATAATAACTGATAGAGTAATTTTATATGTTAGGTATCGATTATAAAAATAATTGTGCGACAATTAAGAATATATCAAAGTATATATTTTAATCGTATTCATATACAAATTTTGTATAAAAAAATCGCACAAAAATTTAAATGTTAATATGTCAAGTGCGATATTACATGCAAAATATATACTCTCGGTCATATCATATAGAGTAACAACATACAATGCAAGTTTGAACATGTTTTTGTTGGTAATGCATAATACTACATATGTAGAGAATATGACAAAATCCATAGTAAATCATGAGAGTAACGAATGACTTTTTATATAAAAATAAATAAAAAATTTAAAGTATTTGTTAAAATTTACGAAGCCGAGTAAAAGAAAATTTATGAAAAATAATTTTCGGTCAAAAACATAAAATATTTATACAAAATTAAGTTAATAGTAAAAAAAAATTTCATTAATTAAATTAATTATTCATTAATTTTTCTAAGTCTAAATTTTCATCGTAAAATAATTTTTATTCGCATTCTGGTATCGATAAAAAAGATTTAACATAAAAAAGTAAAAACAGCAAAGATGAATTAATTTTATAGTACAATTTTTTTTAATACCGTCACATTCTGCATACATTTCTCAAAAATGCACATGTAAAATAAAATAGCATTCAAATAACTTTCACAAATCTTGCTGTAATTATTTAAGGAACAAATTTTTTATATGAATTTTATAATATTTTTTAAAAATTTTTTATGCATGTAAATTATGATATCAATGTAAAGACAAAAAAGAAATATAATAACAAAATTAATTTGTATCTTGTATGCACTGATACATATTGATGAAATTTATTTTATAGTTACATTTGTTTAAATATAATCTATTTATATTTTTGTATATCATAGAATTTATGAGACCAATTTTGTGTGTGTGTTTGTGTGAATGAAACAACATATTTTTATTATAATGTCTAATATATCTTATCTAGCATATATATAAAAATATATAAAAATATAGGAAAACAGTTTTTCCTAATTAATATAAATAAATAAATACTGAAAAGTAATATCAAATGTTAATTCTTGAATCGTCACAGTATGATTACAGTATGTAGTTATTTGAACTATTAGATTCTAACTATTCTAACTATTCTAAAAACATTTTTTCAATCTTAACATAGTCACGTCTTCATATTCTACAGAACAAATCGTATGATATTAACGTTATATTAAACTGAACAACTTAATATCTGATTTCAAGAATTTAAAATATCTCGGTATTTAAAAAGAGTTAATAAGATTATAATCCGAATATCATTCACATATTAGGATATTGTTGTTATTCTCCGATCTCTCTTGATTTGTAGCTTTCATTCTTGTAGCAAACATTTGTGAATATGCTGCGAGAAGTTTGTCTCCCGTTTGAATTTTTGATTGCAGTAGGCGCAGTGATACTTGATTGATCGATACTTGAACTTGATTTCGGTTCTTGTTTGATGGTTCTTTAGGTGCTCGTGCCACAGGAAGATTTTTCCACAACCGCAATATAAGGACGATATACTTTCATTGAACGATATATAGTCTTCAAAATTGCCTAAAAGAATTAACAACAGGATCAATTCCTCAATGCAATTGATTAATTGCGCCTCTTCAAAATATTTAAAATAGACCTAAGTGATCTTATATAATTCACATATTTGAGTATAGAATTATAAATTTAATTAAGAATTTCTTTTATCGTTAAAAGAAATACGATTGACTCAATTGAGCGATTATTAAATAATAAAAGATGCTTCTAAGAATTTTTTAAATAATTTTAGTTTTTGGAGTAACAATTAAATTAAAAACACGTATTCTCGTATACACAAACACAAAATAAAACAGAAATCATAATTTTCTCCATGACATCTTGATACAAAGAGAATTTTATTTCCCGCGCATAATTTTTCCAGAGCACGCAATGTGCTTCAGTACAATTGAATTCTAAGGACAAGCACAAACAACACATTATTGACTGATCAATTACAATAATTACTACTTGATAATTTCAAACAGGAAATAAAGTAAACAGCGACAATATACAATAATGCCGATTTTTTTAATCGTTTAATTCTATTATTATATCTTACATATTTGTGGGTTTGTTTATTCAACTACGCAAATAAAATGTCTGAGTTGATTGCTGGCAATTGTATAAATTTGCTAAGTTAATTAGTAGCGCTCAGTCTCCAAAAATCTCTCCGATTTCTCTTCACAGATTATAATTCTAAAATTAAAACGAAATCTTCTCTGATGATCTTTGAATTCATACTTACTTGAGTTTAAATTTCCCCCGGCAAAGCGTATATGTGTACGTACTACTTCTTATTGCACTTATTGCACTCCCGTTGGCATCTCATTAAATTCTGTCTCCACATATATTCGTGACTGCATTCGTCGTGGATATGTGATTTAGCGTTTGCGCTTTACTACATTCATAATGTTTGTCCTGCCAGAGATGACGTCGATTCGTACTCCTTACTGCATGCGTTCCAGATGAATTCGTGATGAGCGTAGAAATCGGTGTGATCTGAAAAGAAAGGACGCTATATCAGCGCACATTCTGAGTCATTTGCAATCTCATAAGTAATTTATATTTTTTAAATCCTTATCATAAATTTATTCACGCGCTCTCTTTCTCGAAATAGATTCATTGATTAGATTTCAATTCATGTGTTATCATTGTAAAAGTTAATCGAGTTTCTTCTTCGAAAATTTGTTCCTTTGTAAAGGAATTAATACAGAGGATAAATGAAATTGACGTATTATGTGTAGGATACAAACAAAATTTTACTTCTCTACTTACGTAGTCTTCTTGAAACACTTAATGTTCCGTACATTTAAATTCCTACAACATTTTTGGAGTAAGCGCAGACGAATCATTAGACGAACAACAAAACTGTGATCGTAATGATCCTTAATTTGGCGCGCAAAAAAAAAAAAAAAAACAAAACAACACGCTGTTTCTTCTTCACTTAGTTTTATTTTGTACAAGCGTTCTTCGACTTGTTTAATACAATGGTGAACATTGATTAAGTATCGTCGAAATTTAAACTGGTTTTTCTATTTGTTGATTATTCCAACAACATCCTTATGACATTGTGTCATATTGTGTTCTTTGAGATGAAATCTGTATTTGAAACTCTTGTCGCAAGGAACGCATACAAATTGCCCCTCTTTTCCGCACTCGTGGCGTTTGTGCCTTATCAGAGATGAATGCCATTTGTATTTCTTTCCGCATGCGCTGCAGATATATTTGTGATAAAATAAGCATTCCTGGAAATCACTGAAATCTGAAAAAAAAAAACGATATTATATCAGCACGTGTTTTAAATTGTCGGCAGTTTCACATGAAATTTATACTTTTTACATCTTTATGATTAGTAAGTGTGTTTTGATTAGATTTATTATTTACAATAAAATTTATTTAAAAAAATTAATCGAGTTTCTTCAAAGATTGTTTTTTTATTCGAACAGGCCTGATATAAGAAAGTGGACGTATTTAAAGAATGTAAAAGAACTTTATCAGCGTCTCGTATATACATGTATTTTTATCGAAGTGCCCAATATTCTGCATATTTCAATCCGCGCATCATTTTTTAAATAAGTGAGCTTATTACTTATACGTAGGTTTATTAGAAAATTAATAAATTGTAACAAACGTAACAATAAGCCCGTGACAATGAACGTAACAATGAACCAACGAACAAATTTGATACAAAAACGGGAAACAGAAGTAAAGGGTGAAAACGTACGACACGCCGTTTCTTTGTTACTTAGTTTTATTTTGTGCATTACAATTGTCATTTGCAACACAACCCTCTAATTTTATTTTGTACATCAGGTATTTATTCATTTGTCCATAATATAATTATAAGTAATAAAGTATCAATTAAATATCGCCTAAGTTGAAATTTAAGCTCATTTTTCAATGCTTCGAATGTGTCGAAGCGTATCGTAATTTAATGTTGTACATCAGATAAGAAAGATTCATTCAAAAAAGGATTTTTTGACGGATTAGGTTTGTGGAGTTTCAAAACGCACTACATCTGATAATGATATTTAAGATGATACTTGTGTACGAATTTCTCTTGCCACAAAGAGGGCACATGCACTGCTACTTTTTACCTCTTCGCGTTTTGTGTCCCAGAAACATTTTTTATTTATATCTCTTTTCGCAAACATTACAAGTGCATTTACCGCGATTCACATTGATTAGTCTGAATGTTGGCTGATCAATTTGAACTCGTCATCTTATATCTGCAATCAATATTCTTGCAATTTATCAAATAATTGGATTGTTTGCGATTGATGAATTGCGTTGATGAAATTGCGATTTATTATGTTTATCGAGGTCATTTTTCTTTTTGAAGCTTCTGTTGCAAAGAATACATTTGAACTGTCTCTCTTGCCGGCACTCGTAACGTTTGTGTCTTATTAGAGATGAATACCACTTGTAGTTCTTTCCGCATGCGTTGCAAAATAGGATGGCACAATGGGATAAAACTTGGAATTGCTTAAAGTTGCTGTAACCTAAAAAGATAAAATCAGTGCGTGTTTTGAGTTGTCCTAGTCTTCTTCAAATATCTAAAGCTTACATTCGACTATCTGATTTTTCATGCAATTTTTCATGCAACTTATTGCAGCGACTTAGTTGCAGCAATTATTTTTGTGATTTATGACACTACATGCGATTAAAATGATTTCTAACAAAACTTAATTGTTAATTATTGCCAACTATAAAATAAAATATTACGATTATATTTGTACAGCACACAAAACACTGTTGTCTTTTTAAAACAAATACGCAACAACAACTCATTCTCCGAAAATACTACTACAATTGCACGCAATTAGTTGTTAAAATTAGAATTGGATCTAAAATCATTATGCAATCAATGCAACCAAATTGCTTCTAAAAATTGCAGTAGTATGATAACAAAAAAGTTGCGGCAATTGAATTGTTATAACAAATTACATACTGGGATACAGGTTTAAACATTTTATAAGTATATTTAAATTTATACCACATTTTTAAAAAAGAAAAACACGGATAAATAATAAATTATAATCATAACGATGCACAACGCACACTAATTTGGTGCACAATAAAAAAGAGAAGCGGTGAAAGCAAACAACATCATTATATTACTATCTAATTTTATTTTGTAGATCAAATATTCATTCGTTTGTTCATAACATAGTTATAAAGATCAATGAAATATCGCCTAAGTTGAAATTTAAGCTCGTTCTTTAGTGCTTCGATCTGTCGAAACATATCGTAATTTGACGTTGTACAATTAGATAAGAAAGATTCATTCAAGAAAGATTTTTTTACAAATTTGTAGACTGCGTTCGAGGTTGTGTTTGATAATGATGCTTGTGTATAAATTTCTTGCCACAAAAAGGATACATGCACTGCCGCTCTTTATCGCACTCTTCGCGTTCTCGTCAGAAACGTTCTCCACTTATATTTCCTCTCGCAAATGTTATATAAGTATGTTTATCACGGTTCACATAAAACATTAATTGAGAATTAGTTAGCCTGAATGCTGGCAGAACTCGTCACGTCATATTTGCATTTGTCAAATGATTGCATGTATATCGATGAATTTGCGATTTATTGTGTTTATCGAGGTCATTTTTGTATTTGAAGCTTTTGTTGCAAGGAATACATTTGAATTGTCTCTCTTGTCCGCACTCGTAGCGTTTGTGTCTTATTAGAGATGAAGACCACTTGTACTTCTTTCCGCATGCGTTGCAAATAGCGCAGTAGGAAAAAGCTTGGGATTGCTTGAAGTTGCTGTAACCTAAAAAAATAAAATTAATGCGTGTTTTGAGTTGTCCTAATTTTCTTCAAATATCTAAAGCCTACACTTGACTATGTAATTTTTCATGCAACTTATTGCAGCGATTTAGTTGTCGCAACTTGCTAGTTGCAGCAATTACTTTTGTGACTCGTCACACTACATGCAATTAAAATAATTTCTAATAAATTTTAATTGTAAACTGAACCCTATTGCCAACTTCAAAATAAAATACTACGATTATATTGGTACGACATATAAAATATTGTTGTCTCTCTAAGGCAATAACAACAATTCACTCTCCGAAAATATTACTACAATTGCGTGCAACTAGTTGTTAGAATTAGGATCTAAATCATTATGCAATCATTGCAACCAAATTGCTTCTAAAAATTGCAGTAGTATGATAAGAAAAAAGTTGCGGCAATTTATCACGCCAATCGAATTGTTGCAACAAATTACACAATCGAATACAGATTTAATATTTTACATGTGTATTTAAATTCATGCCACACTTTTCTTAAATAAACACGCATAAATAATAAATTATAATCATAACAATGTACAACGCACACTAACTTGGTGCGTAATAAAAAAGGGAAGCAAACGGCGAAAACAAACAACATCGTTGTATTATCATCCATATTTTATTTTGTACATCAGGTATTCATTGTTCATAACACAATTATAAAGATTAAAGATTAAAATTTATAAAATTATAAAGATTAAAGATTAAAATTTATAAATTATAAAGATTAAAGATTAAAATTTATAAATTATAAAGATTAAAGATTAAAATTTATAAAATTATAAAGATAAAATTCCTAATATATATAGTTATGAAGATCAATGAAATAGCGCCTAAGTTGAAATTTTAGCTTGTTCTTTAGCGCTTCGACATGTTGAAGCGTATCGTAATTTGACATTGTATATCAGATAAGAAAGATTTATTCAAGAAAGATTCTTTTTACGGATTAGATTTGTGGAGTTTGCGTCTCGAAGTTTGCATGTGCTGTGTTTCATAATGATGCTTGAGATGATGCTTGTGTACGAATTTCTTGCCACAAAGAGGACATAGACACTGCCGCTCTTTGCCGCACTCTTCGCGTTTGTGTCTCCACAGAGACGATCTCCACTTATACTTCCTCTCGCAAACGTTACAACTATATTTACCGCGGTTCTGCCCGTGATATTCTTCGTGTTTTTGCTCGATGAAATCTGAAAAACAAAAGAAAGTTATTTAAATTCATGCCACATTTTTTAAATAAACGCGGATAAATAATAAATTATAATCATAACCACTAGCGGATCCCGATGTCGATAATAGGGAGGGTTTTGACCTGCTTTAATGCATTTTTTACCAAGATTCTTGAAACGGATCCAGCAAAATTGATTTTTTTTAACTTGGAAGAGGGGGGGGTTTTAACCCTCAAACCCCCTCCCCCCCCCTCCCATCCCAGGATCCGCTAGTGATCATAACGATGCACAACGCACACTAATTTGTTGCACAATAAAAAAGGGAAGCAAACGGTGAAAACAAACAACATCGTTGTATTACCATCTAATATTTTATTTTACACATCAGAATACATTTATTTATTTGGTCATAATATAGTTATAAAGATCAATAAAATATCGTCCAAGTTGAAATTTAAGTTCATTCTTTGCTGCTTTAATGATGATCTTCGCGTTTGTGTCTCGTCAGAGACGGTTTCCACTTATATTTCTTCCCGCAAACGTCACAAGTGTATTCACCGCGATACTGCCAGTGATATTTTTCGTATCTTTGCTTGCTGGCTTTGTAATCTGAAAAACAAAAGAAAGCACGCTTGTCATTTCAAATCGTTGTAGATTCGTATTCTTTTGGAGAGAAATTATTTGATTAGATTAGTCACATTTCATACATTTTAAGTTAGTGTAATGTTAATAAAATATCTTTTCAAAGTTGTTTCTAAAGGCAAGTTTAAAATAATAACGCCAGACAAGTTTGTTTGTTGGTAAAATAATTTTAATTTTTTCGATGAAAGTTTATGTAAGAGCTTAATAGAAAACGGGCGCGATAGGTTCTTCGCATTTTCTTCAAGTCATAATTTATTCTTTTTGTATTATATCACATTATGTACATATAACAGATCAAAGTAATTTTTGTATTTTCCATTTTTATTTGCATAGAGAACAAATTACAATCGGTAATTCATCTCACAGTCTATATTTACTTTTTCTATAAATATCCCTTCGATTGCGTACGAAAGGTACATGTATCAAGCAAGTACAAAATCTTCTAAAAAATAATTATCACTAGCAATAGTAAAATACATATAAATTTCTATTATTAAAATATAATGATAAATTTCAAACAAGTGTGATATTTTTTATCTAATTTCCAGGATCATTATTTCAATAATTTAATTTTTTATTTTTCTTCTGACTAGGATAATACTTGCACAAATTGTGTAGTATTATGATTATTTATAATTATGTTTAACAATAATATTAATAATGTTACTTAATATTGCAAATTCAAACTTTTATATGACCGATAATGAAAAATTGAATTATACGAAAGCAAGAATAATAGTATGTGTATGGTTGCTTTGGGATTCTTTAACGTTTACTTTCTACATCTCAAGCTGTGTTATCTGAATAAGTATATATTTTTGGAATTTAATCCTCCTTCCTCCAAAAAAACAAAAATCAAATGTAAAGCTTTCGGTCGGGCATTACATAAAATTCGGAATATCGTCGGTCGTTTTAGATCTTCTTGCCATTCCGGAAGTCCCAGAAGTGAACGTTGACCAGATGCTTCTTAAGCATCCACTTGTGTCGGATCCTTATACCGCATACGCTACAAGTATGCTGCGGATCCTTTCCACACTCTTCTCGTTTGTGCCTGATCAACGATTGCATCCATCTATACTCTTTTCCACAAGCCGAGCAGAAGTGTCTGCCTAATCTCTTATAATAGTCCGGCATGCTGTACTGTACTGAATCTGAAAAAGAAACAATGAACGACATGTTAATGCATTCGAACATTTATTGATGCAAATCCATTCACACGGAATAAAATATGTATTTGTGTTTTATCTGTATCATTAATTAATGCGATCGTCCGATCAATCTTGTCGATTAGATTTTTAAATTAACTCTTTCTTTTTAATGTATACAAATATCTAAATGTTCTTTTTAATTCCTTATCCCACACAATCATTATATTATTAGTTATTATCCCTTTTGTAAGCTACAGTTTTAAAGTATTACACGA